AGTCATCAGATCTAAAATCCCTCATCGGAAGAGCCGAGTCCAAGGCCCCTCCCAGTTCCACCCCTTTGGTCAAGACCTCAGCTCCTTCTCCTCTCGAGGCGTCACCTGGCGATCACAGATCATATCTTGATGCAGGTTCCGTCCGGACTACGTCGCCGGAACCTTTCATGTTCGAATCGAACTATATCCTCGATTGCGATCATGTCAGGCCAGGACTGGACAGTTCGTATTACTATTCAATTGTTGACAATCACTGACTTCATTCATATCGTTTATAGTGACACAGGAGCAATATGACACGTCCAAAGATATTATCTTAGATCTCTTGGGATGGGGTATACCTCCTGAGTACCTTGTCGATTGTGGCTTGAGTCGGCAAATCGTCTTCTATGTTTTCACCGAGCTGAATTTGCGACTACCAAGCAACCTTGACACTGATGGGCTGATATCTTACCCAACGCCAGATATGGTATCTGCAGTACCTGCCTCGCCAGCCTATTCAACTCGCTCGTCTTCGTCTGCTATACATATTCCATCTTTGCGTAGTGATGTTGATGGCCAACATTCGCTTGACCAACGCCTCCTTGTCGAGAGAGGAGGTAATCTTGCCTCGTCGCCTACAAATCAATTGTCCCCCTCAGCGCAGCCTAGTCTTGCTTCACGGTTATCCCCAGCCCCAAATCCAAATCCGTCTCTGCATGATATCGAACAATCGCGGCGTCAAGAGTTGCTAGCTCGGAAGGCAGCCATCGCTTCCCGGAGACAAAAACAAGGTGATCGTTCAGGGGATCAGTCAACTTCTCGAGCTTCATCAAAGGACAAGGACGTTGACATGGAACAACATGTTCCTACAGAGACCGTAGAAGATTTTCTGAATAGCATAGGGCCTTCGTCTGACCTTGACAAGGATAACAGTACCACGCTTGCTGCTCGCTTTTCAAGTCCTGATGCTATGGATATTGACGAACCCATTCCTGGGCTTGTGACATCGGGAAGTGTAGACTTTACCACAAACCCTCATGAGCAAGTATCTGTGCAGTCTTCCCCTACGTTTTCGGGTGGCGCGGGGCCGTCACGTCTCAATATCCCTGAATCTAATAATGATCGTCCTCTTGCTTCTGCGGACTCGCATGGACCAACGCCACTTTCCACCAATTCGATCACGTCTACATTTTCGGTTAATTTACCGGAAATAAGTAGTGCGGTTGATACCACATCGGATACGGTTCTTTCAGAAGCGGTCATCAATTACGAGGGTAACCCGCCTCACCAAACACGTCGAGGGACAAAGCGTCCTGTGGCCGCAGATTTTGTTGATGACTTTGGTCCATCAAGATCTCATGCAGGCAGTAGTGGGAATGGATATATTAACGGCACACATCTCAATCCGGCCCTTCGCCGGAAGACAGGTAGTTTTGCGAGCGTGAGCGGCATGCGGCGTTGTGTTATCGACTTAAGTGATAGCGAGGATGATGGGGATAGGGAAGGTCGTAGAGAGTATGATGCAAGTGGTGATAATTGGGAACGCCGTACGGTATCACCGATGCCCTCGTCTCTAGCTTCGCGTCATCCGTCACGAATCAACGCCCTTTCTACTCCTCCCATGACATTTGGCGTAATTGGCAATGGTGCAGGTCGGACACCGCTTATCAACGTGGCTAGTTTGAGCACGTCAGCCATGACTGGAACAATGTCGCCTGCAGCGTTACTCGAGAAGGAACAGGAAATCAAGAAGATGCGCGAATTAATTGCGCAGCGGGAACAGAATAGACTGAAAAAGATGGCTGCTGTCTGTATTCATGAAATTGTGTCATAGTTGACATTTCTGACCAATGTGATTCGTGTAGATGTCTGGCAAATCGACACCCACTAGTCTAGCTATCTCGACGATGACAATCTCTTCAAACGATTCTATACCTGCTCCCATTAAGCAAGAAGAAGAAGTCAGTTCTTCATCCCCAGATATCAACGCATCGCCTAGCATGAGCACTGCGACCAAGGAGGTCTCAACTAACGCCACAGGCTCCGGAAAGTCGGCAGTATCCCCTGTAGAAGATATGGTCATACGAGACGTTCCTGGTTCGTACTGGTCATACCTTTTCCTTTACGCTCTTCCCTTTCTTCGGTTTTTACCCACACTTTGTCTTTATGTGATAAGCTGTCGGGATGGTTTTTCATTGTTTACCACTTGTGTCCCCTTTTTGACCATTCTGGTCACCACAAGCGCGCAGAAGCTTCCTCTTATATTCTCCCTGTTTGTCATACCTGGTGCCATAGATATCTATGAGGGTGTTCCTGTACCTTTGGCCCACTTCCGCGTTTTCTTCACTCCTGTTTGCTTCTTTTCTCATTGGCGGCCTCCGTCTTGCGTCATTCACCGATATCGTTACCTATACTAACTCAACGCCGGCCTTCAGATAGACCACCACCGGAGTCCGGCTCTTTTCTCCCAGAAAGGACCGACAACTCGACGAGCTCTCCCACCGCCGGGATGAGCAATGCGATTGGTAAAGATGGCAACAGCAATACAAATGGCATGTCTGCATCAGCGACACCCTCCGGTTCTCTCTCCCGGTTCTTCGCCAGTCCGACAACCGGCTGATAAACTCTTTTGCTTTTTTTCTTCGGATCTGGTTCTTCCTTCTGGTTTCGGTTCTCGTCATTCGGCGAATTTCAAAAAATTTTCGTTTTCTGTCGTTGTTTGCGGACGACTTCTCGACTTCTTCTAACGTGATGTGAATGTTGGAACGTTATTCGATTTTGTTTTTTGTTTTCGAATTTGTAGATGATGCTGATGCTGCACGAGCAGCTTGGACCTCAAGAGTGGTGGAAGGAGCTACTGGTGCACAAGGCGAGTACACCTTGTTACACGCTATTACTAGCGTTTGGTTTTATCCTACCTTTTTCGGTTTTAACACTTATTTGCCCTTTGCTACCGCCAATTTTGTGGTCATCTAGGGTTGACACTTGAAACATACTCAACACAAGCGGCAAGGACCTTTCTCTCCATTGTCTAGTGTCATTCTACTTCCTTCCTGACCTATTTTTTTTTGTTTATTTGTTTCTCTTCCATCCTCCTTTTGTCGTTCACAGGTCACTCATACTCAGCATCCCTTACATCCGTCAGCAGTACAAGGTCAGCAGGTTGACGCCGCCGATGAGGTCGGTGCATCGTCGGCGCAGGTGCGTATTCAACCGCAGATGGTTTTCTCCATATAGGTCCTATGGCCTTATTTATACATACTGACGACTTGGTTTTTCGGGGATATATAGATCTTTCATGTGTCACAGCGGAAAGAGCAAGAGTCTAACAGCAACTCAGCGATGGCCTTTACGACATATAGGTCACCTTTCACAGTGTATCCGCTACTGCTCTCGCAGTCGAGCTCTGCTATTTCGTCAGATGATCCTTCATCTCTACACAAGGACTTCTCATCGCAAGCAGGATTGGCGCAGTCAGAAAACTCTGAGTCTCATTCTCTTTCTTTGTATCATAGAATTAGTACTATTACACCTAGTGTACCTTCTCCATCATCTCAAGCCTCATCTTCCTCATCTACTTACTCTTCCTCTTCTTCTCATATATCACTTCCTCGCGTTTCTCTACCAGATTTCCAACAACTCAAGCAAGCCACGCTGCAGCTCGTTCTTTCACAACTCACCGCAGGCGATACTAGTCGACGCGTCTGTCAATACGAGGTGCCCGGCGGTGGAGTGTGCCGCGACCAGACATGCGAGGATGTGCATCTCAGTCGGATCGCAGGCAGCAGTGTAGGCACTATGGCTATCGACGTGGAACCAACTGGTACGTCGCAGTGTTGTTTCAGTGCGAATTGGCTCATGCGATGCTTATTGCGTGTTTTTTTCACTTGTGCTTATCATACGCATCACCATCCATTCACCTTCCCGTTTCTTACTATTCTCATTGGTTATTCTTATATTTCTCGCTTTTTTATAGATTTCGACACAGCGACATATGTGCATGATGGACTGCCGCCTATTTGGCGGGCACGGTGCAACACAAAGGACATTGAAAACGCTCTTGATGCGGTGCGGCGTCGCGGCAGCATGAAGGGATTTGAGGCGCGCGTCCGAGAGGCGTTGGTCCTCCTTGGAATACCAGTGTCAAGCGGGACACCGACTGCGACCTGACCAGGCAAGCGTACATGCAACAGAGGCACATTTATGGCCGACAGTAGACCGCAAGCAAGTGGAAACCTGGAGATCTCTGTGGCCAAGGGGTCAGACAACTGTCTGACTTGAGCCAGTAAAAATGAATGGCGAAATGATGCATTCGAATGGCAAAACCAGGGGAAAGGACAAGAGCGCGATGCGCCACGGAAGCAGGGCGAGCCTGCTTCTGAGGAGGACGAGATGTAGACATGTGTGATTGCTGTTGATAAGACATGTTGTATGAAATCTGCGGGTTTGTTGATTCATGACATTGCTTGACGTGGCGATGGATCGGATGGCAGTGCGAGTGGATTTGAAATAAGAATAATTATGGCGAGAGTAAATTAAAGAGCTTGGCGGTGCCGTAAAAGGAGTTAGCAGATGCTGAGTCAACGTGCGATGTGCTAGCTTGATTAGGGTGGGGTGACGGTTGCCTAATGCGGGCAGGCACGGGGTGATTGTTGCCATATTTAAATTGGGGAGTGGGGCGAGCGTGGGAAAGAAGGAGGCTGCGGACAACAGACGCGGGCCCAGTCGCCGGGGAGGGTGTGCCTGGGCCGGAGATCGAAGAGGGCGAGTCGGCTGGAGCTGCGGCAGGGGAACTCCGCTCCAAAAGAGGAAATTTATAGATAAACAGCGACACACAGACCTGTGTCTTTTTTTGATCGCCTTCCCCCCCAAAAGAGAGAGTGGAAAACTCACTCCCCTCCAAAACGGACATCGTCCACCCATTCACCCTCCTTCCAACTAAAGCGATTCCTTTTCTGGACGTCGTCCGCATCGACGCTCGACCACTTCTCCTCATCGTCCACAACGTCCTCGACGCCCTCCCGCCCCTTCTCCTCATCGTCTTCCTTATCGCACAGGGCCCCTCCCCCTCTATGGCCTTTCGCCGTCCCTCCTCTGGCACATCCAACTCCCCCTCGTATCCTTATTCCAACACCGCGGCGCACCATAGCCAGCAACCTTCCCTTTCTGGTCAATCGCTCCAGGACGACCCCGCCTCATCCTCACCCACCATGCGCAAGCGCCAGCGTACAGACATGACAAACCCCGCAGCCCCAGACCCGCAACAGCCCAACCAGCTCGCCCCGCCTCCGCCACAACAACAACACCACCCACAGCCAGGTGTCCAGCCAGCCGTCCCCGAAGACGGCTTCATCAACGATCACGATGCTGTAGAGAGTGGTGGCGACGAGGACGAGGATGAGGACAAGCCAAAGTCGGACAAGAAGGCTGGCAGGCGAAAGATCAAGATCGAGTTTATTCAGGATAAATCGAGACGTCATATAACATTCTCCAAAAGGAAAGCTGGTAAGCTGTCCTTCTCCTCGCAGACTCGATTCTTGCTCAATTTCATCATTTATCTTCTCACAGGCATCATGAAAAAGGTATACCAGCTCGTCCCACTTCAGTGCCTTGCTTATATAACGTCCTTTACAGGCCTACGAACTGTCAACCCTTACTGGCACTCAGGTCTTACTCTTAGTAGTATCAGAAACCGGTCTCGTCTATACCTTTACCACCGCAAAGCTTCAGCCCCTCGTAACCCAACCAGAGGGCAAAAATCTTATCCAAGCATGTCTCAATGCTCCTCACGGTTCCCTTCCTTCCTCACTGCCCGTCGGTGCGCCTCTTGGTCGCGCATCGGGACCCATGTCGATGCCTGGTCCTGGACCAACCAATAACCTCCCTGGAGGTTTATCTATCTCAGGTGGGCCCGTAGGTGGCCCGCCTGGTGGTACGAAGGAGGACGAGGACGGCGACGAAGCCACACACGGTCGTGGTGCAGCCAGTGCAGGCGATAAGCGTCGTCGTCGACCATCCACAGCTGGAGGGTCCGTCGGCAGTCCCGTCCTAAGTGGACGTGCACCTGGCCCTGGCTCTCCTCATTCTGCGAGCAGCACAATACCACCGCCCCTCTCCATCCCACCGCCATCACAACACCAGCAGCAACACCCACAGTCGCAAGCCCCGCCTCCCCCACAGATCTCTCTCGGTTCGCCGACGAGTCCCCAGCAGCAGCATACACAGGTACCACAATCGCCACAGTACACGTCGCCGACGAGCGCATATACGACGCACCAGCACCACCCTGGTCATGCACCACATCATGCTCAAGGTGCGGGACATGCCGGCAGTCCGACAGACGCAGGTCTATATGGCGGACATATGATGCCTCCCCCTGGCGCCTATTCGTATCCTGGGCCTGGTGGCCCTGGTGCACAAAGTGGACAACAGTTGGGTGGACTTGCTGCCGCCGCCGCCCAGCATGGTCATTGGACGACTGGTCCGCCTCAGGTGGGCCAGGGCGGGCATTATGGCAGAAGATGAAGGACGTGAGGCGGTTTGACTACCTTTTTGACATCGGTTCCTGTCATCAGATGAACACTCGTCTGTGATACATGCTTTGTCCCGCGTTTTTTGGGCAGTGTTTTTCTTGTTTCCTCCAAGGGTGTTTTCAAGATGGGACGCCGCGCCCCCATCTTTTCTCGTAGTCGCTTATGCTTTTTTTCTCTTTTCTGTCTCTTCTTTCTTTGACTACCAAATCTGGCTGTTTTGTACATTACTCTCATCAATACCGCCTCCCTTTCTCTTTCCTTCTCAATATCATTCGTCACCAAATCCAACAATACGACGAATTCAACAACAGTTTATGCATATTTGCTACGCTTACTGTGTGTTACTGCTCTACGCTCCCTTATCGTGCTTGCGTTCAAGTTTCTTGTTCAGCTTTCCGCGTCTATCTACCTCCTCCTGTAAGAGCTTTGTACGCCAACAGTCTTGCCTTGCTGTCTTGATTTTTCCTCTACCTCCAATGTGGCACCGTTACCAGGTGCAATCGGAGCCATTCATCGTGTTATCGTTAAATTTCTCTACTTTCTGATACTGTAGTTGTAAATTCGCTCAAAATATTCCAGGGCTACCAGATGATCCTGTCAACAATGATTGATGGAAACAACATATAATTTGTGATGAGATATGTTAGATATACATCCGATTATCACGTAAATTTCGTATAAATGAAAAGTGAATGTGGAAGGCGAGAATACAAACATGTCGAGAAAAGAGAAGAGGGTTCAATGGAGTTAATGACAATGTGAGAAGACAAGACAAAAGAGAACAATGGAGATCTGCACATGCACAATGTATTGACGACGCGAAGACGCGACGCGACGCGTGTAATGTCACGATCGCGACGCGTAGACAAAAGAGGGAAAGGCGAGAAGGCGAGTCTCAAAACAGAAAACCAGTCCTTCATGGGAAGACAAACCCGTCACAGCTCAGCCCTGATCGAGGGCGGAAACAAAAACAGTAATAAGGAGAGACATGACGCAGCGCTGTGCCATCACACTAAAAGCGGCAGCGCCTCCATTTGGGTGAGGTTCGCATTGCAGCTCTGGCATCACCACTCGAGTCCTCGGTGATCAACGCAACCTGATCATGGGCAATCAGTGTTTGTATCTGAGGCAGTAATACCGACTCCACGGTGTATCATCGTATTTCACTACAGTCCTTCGGGTAGTAACCATCCTTGAGCACCCCACTTTTGAGTGAGTTGCATTGATGACTCTATCTAAACTTCCCCAACATAGAACACCAGATGCGCTTCGAGAAACGCCAGCAGGGAATGAAGGCAAGATGGGCGTCGCGGAGTCCAAAGAGCCGAACAATGCACAATGAGTCAGATGGCGAAATGTTTTCGAAGCTTCCATGATGCAGGGGCGAGTTAAGGTCCGACAGACAAGGGGAGTGCTCGAGCAGAGGACGTAAAACTATGCGAAGAGAATGCTTATAGGGTCTCCAAGATGAAGGGCGATCGTGTACGTGACGATGAAGTCCCAGCCTGTGCATCCTCGCCGTGGGATTCCAGCATGAAACGACGCCCCGGCTGCCCGATCAATCTTCATGCTACTGACTGATAAGGGCACGTATGCCGCAGGCCAGTCCCGAATAGGTCAGTGTAGCTCGTCCAACGACCTTCCGCTCTTTCTCCCCTCTGGCGCCGTAACAACCAGCCTCTTTTTCTACTTCGACTTCCATTCATAGCCCCTGTGGCGCCTATCACGCACAGATTAAACACCGTGTGGTTAATGGCGTCAGAATCTTTCCACCCTCGTGCTACCCGTGGCACATGCAATCAGAAGTTCATCCTATCCTTCCATATTCCAATCCATGAAGTAGAACTTTGGCCACACCTATACAGACAGACCTAGAGCGCAAATGAAAAATACAATGTACATTGCTTGATATTCTTGAACTCATTCTTCAAGCCTTCCACGCTACAAAGACACGCATCGAGCGGCTGAGACGAGTTGAAGGATGAGGTGTTGAATTTGACTTCAAACGATCGGACTGAGACTGGTTTTGAAGCGGCGAAGTGGGCGAGAAGCTGGGATGATCCTTATCGCGGATGGTATCTCGAGTGTCTGGCGTAGGAGCCTGGGCTAAGTCAGGAACAACGGGAAGCGTCGAGGTGGAGGCCGCCACAGCTACGTCAACGGCAACGCTAGGGGACTTGTAATCCTGACTGACATGCTCTTGCTCTCGCTGGCGGTTTTGAGTTTGATTACGATCCTTGTGGCCCCGGTCTTGCAGCTGGCATTCACTATCGGCCCATTTTTTGCACGCGGCATCAAAGTTCTGTCTTTCCTGCGGTATCGGACCCGGTACAGCACTCCACTTGAACCGGTCTTCCAGCACAGATCCCAAGGCCATGTGATTTCTCATATCCCTAAATTCCGATAGGTGCCATTAGCAGCAATCAAAACAACGCGAAACATAGGAGAAACATAAATAGAACCAAGCACCCCGGTGACAGAGGCCTGCCGTAACATGCGTATCCACTGTCAGCGATGAGGGCGCAGGATCACAGTCCTAATCAACCCAGAAGCCAGTCCAGGCCAATTCAACCAAAGGGACGCCCATAGAAGAGGTAAAGGGACTACCTCGCTGGGACACATAGAGGAGCAGAGGATACTCACATCTCAAACTGGATAAGGAGATCATCAAAGTCGGACCTTGTCATCCCCGCGATAGCAGCTTTGATCGGATCTTGACCGCCGGTATCCGTTTTGGATACACCATCGCCCCCTGTGGCACCCAACCCTTGCGCCCGTTGAGAAGTCACGGATCCAGACCTTAGATGCTCTTGATAATCAACTATCCATTCCCACATCGCCTCCGCACATGCTAGGATCTCCTTTACTCGCATCATCAAGTGAAGATTAAGCGACCGTAGATCGACCTCGAGCATCGCATTAGGCAGGCGGCTTTTGAATGAGCCTAGTGAAGGAGGGGTACTGAACAAACTTGAGGCAGTGTGAACAGAAGTTGGGCTCCCCGGTGGCTGTATATTTGTTTCGTCACAAGCATCGTAATCCTTAGCATAGGCGTTAAGATGAACCATATCTTGATTAGCTGTGTGATTGAAAGTAGCCCTCCACGAGGGCGAAAAGGCCGTGAATCTTGTTACATCTAAGGATGCGTAGGGCGAGACGCCTTGTAAAAGACCCTGCAAGGAAATTGTTTTAGTTGGAGGCCCAGGGTTTCTGCTGTAAAACAAATTTTCGCTGAAAGTGATCCCCTCATTTACGCCACCTTGCTGTGAGGAGCCATCGCCTGGAGGAGGGAACGTAAAGACTATCGGCGGATGGGTACGTACATCTATCAAAGAATCAAAATGTTATCAGTGTCAAGAAAACATAACCTGCTTTGCGAACTACCCCGCGACTCCATAGCGCCGACTCAGGAACACCCCTTCCATTGGGATATAATATCCGAAACAGGAACCAAAAAAATGTTTCAAACCCACCTTTAAACCAAGTCCCCACAGTGTTGGCCAATAAGCTTAGCGGAGCAAGATTCACAAATCGCTGCGCATGCATCTCTGTATATATTACCTCGAGCACTGTATGATCGCGCGGGTTGCGCGGCGGAGATTTCGCGCCTGTAGGCATAAATGACTTTACGCCAGTAGGTGTGGCAGAATTTGTACCAGTGGGAGTTGCACATTCCAAACTTGATGTTGAGCCTGGCAAATTGCTTGACGACGACGATCCAGCACCAGATGAAGACGACTCGGTCTCAACACTCCCGGTGATACCTCGACCAACATTATGAACAAACTCAGTTTCGACAAACCTGCTGGTGGATCCCGAGGCATTCACGAGACCACCTATGCGCCTTGCCCCGACAGCTTTTGCTGCTGTCCCATGATCTGGACCAGATATTGTCCTCTGGAGGAACAGCTTGGTGCCAAGGCTAGGAAGTTCGCTCCCTGGGGTAGAGGCCATGCTCGTGGGCATAGAACCGGCTGTCAGAGGTCTTCTGAGTTTCCTCCTCTTACCCCCCTCATTATCTCTTCCAGCGACTGCAGCATCCCGCTGTAACACTCGAAGTCTCTCCGCAATGTCGCCTCTTTCTCGCGTCCGTGGGTCACCCGTACCTCGCCGCTCCACATCGAATGTGCCAAGAACAGGGGAGTCAGGTGTCGAAGATAGTGAGTTTTTAGACTCTGAGGGTGCAAAAGAGGGTACTGGTGGTAGTGGAATATTGGGCGGGGGGCGCGGCTGCGGGTACCCATCAGGTGCGAGTACTACATTTCCTGGAGGAGGTGGAAGTGGGCACGAAGGTGGGGGTGGTGGGAGCGGATAGTCGGGAGGAGGTGATGCCAGTGGAAGATCATGCATTCGAAGACGAGGATGCGAGAGATCTGAAAGTGTCCTTGCGCGCGTGCGGATATTCTGACGAAACTTTAATGTGGATGGTATGGGAGAGTCGGGAGAATATGGATGTGACGTTGGAAGATGTGGTGTTGAATTATTGATGTCCGCATTTTGTTGGCCTTTCTCATTGACAAGTTCGCCCTCACTTCTCTCCCCAGTTCCCTCGCCGTAGCCAGTTTCGAGAGATTTATCAGAAGGTTTACCAGGGAATGACAAGTCTTCCTCAATAATCTGCGAAGAAAACGTTAGAATTTCTCTCGTGCGGTGAAATATTCATCCCAGTCTAATCCCAGAGATAGCACTCGCCTCCAATGCTCCACCGGGCTTCATTACACGAGAGATCTCCTCAAACAAATCATCCCATTTATCCTCCGGTACGCCCCTCGCAATTCTTTTGATGTGTCTGTAGAATTAATCCGTCAAAGTCGAATTCGGGCATGTGGAGGGAGGGGTATAATGGAAGAAATCTAACTTACACAAAATCAAACTCATCATTTGGGAATGGAAGACCTTCGAGGCTGCAATGATCAAGTATCAGTCATGTCAACGCCCACAAGCCAAGTCAGTAAACAAGCGAAATTCAGCCGAAGCACAATGCAGCCGCGGCACACATACAAGCGAGACGCAATTCCGTCCGCAACACCGTATGGCGAAGCGAAAGAAGTCCCGTCATCTGCGACGGATTAGACTTGGAGAAATAAACTGAGGAGTCTGATAGAAAGTTGCGCGGAGCTCAAGTCAACCGAGACTTGAAAGAAGCGAAAGGAAAAAGGCCCTGGAAAAAAAGGCCTTATTCCGCCTATCCACGTCCCCACCTCCACCTTCGTCTTCCTTTCCCCAACCCAACAGCTACCATCCACCGCATCAATCACTGAAGAACCCCACATAACGGCGTATATCATCAAGGTGGGATATGCCAGAACGACGGGCTCCATGTAGCGATGACGACCGCTGCTTTAGTCATTAAGCATCAAGGTAGCCAATCATAACCAATGCTGCACGAATGGAGAGAAGGGGGGAAGAGACCACCCGACAACACCGATATTATCGACAAGCATCAGCATCTGACCATGGCCAGGAGGTCGACTACCGACATCATCGGATGCGAGATCCAAGATACCTTGATGTGTTCCGGCAAAGAACACTTCAACGTGACAACCAATCAGTGGACATTATACGTCGTGCTCCGTCATGTACATTGATGGGAGTTTGATGGGCCGTACGCAGATATGATAACGGGGGGATGCGTGTAGCAGAAGACTACCCGGAGATGGGCGAGTAACACCACGAGAGCGAGTGCAAGATGAACAAGACGGGACAGAAGACTCACAAATTTGCTTGGATCCATTGGACCCTTCTCGCCAGTTCTGGTGAAGTCACGTGCATCAGATCGGGGTGAAGAGGAACTATGTCGAGACCTTCATTTTACTGAGTCGAAGATTCATCCCGCAATGAAAGAGGGGACTTACCGACAAAATGACATCTCTATAGATGATTTCGGTGGAGATCGGCACAAGTGCAGCGCGTCAAAAAGAAGGCGGGGAGGTAGCGTGATTTGTAGTGCAGGATACGGCGATGGCGACAGGTGAAAAATGAATGCGGGAAGAACAAGTTAGAGTCAGCTAGCAATCCCGTACAAGCAGGCACAAGGAAGAGAATGCCATGATGTTCTGAACAACCAATCAAGCCATACACCAGCACACATGGCACGCATATATACTCTTATTCGCATCAAAAGTTTGAAGGCTCGTAGCGCACCAACCTCCCCCCGCCCCTGTGCAAAAGCCGCGAATTTTACAAACGTCTTCGGCCACCAAATGCTATGCGCCAGATCATTTTCTGCGCGACGGCAGATGGTCGACACGAAAAACGCAAGAGAGCAACGAATAATGGGTGTATATGATATAAAGCACGAACGAAAACCCACCTTCCATGTAGTTGCGCATTCAAGAATCCAAGTGCCCGTTCCGCAACCAATATCGAGGCTGACGAGTCGCAAAAGAGTGGAAGGCGTCCGGAGAGTATTCAGAGCGCGATAATTCCGATTTGGAATGGTGGTAGGTAACACGCGTCGAGTTTGGAGAAAGGTAGTGTAGCGAAGAGCAAAGAATCGTAATGCGCGAAAATCGGATTGACGAACATGAAGAAAACGTCAGTATCCTCGGATAACATTGTAGGAGGCTGGGAAAAACGATAGAAAATGGCATAAGAAAGTGAAGATCTCGTTCTGCTCGAGAGAGAGCATCTCATGCGTGAATCGATTTTATACTTTCTCGCGTATGCTGATCATCCACACAAAGATTTGACCTACTCGTGTAACAGAACGGCACCACTCCAACAATCGCATTCACGAGATATCGTATAACAAATCAAAGTCAAAATGAAGAACAACAAAGACTCACACTTTCGTAGGGGCCTCTTCGAAGACATGCCATGTTACACTTCCACACGTTTGTTTGCACCAAAGGGTTTCCCAAACATCCCTGTTTCACAACAGTGTCAGTGTGAATTGATGATGATGCGTTGATATAGGAAAATGACAAGAAAAATATCAATTGTGATACAGGGTTAGCGTTTATGTAGAGCCAGTTTTTCCGCTGGTGCGGAGAGGTGCATGTCACGCGACCTGAAATAGACTCCCCGGATCCATATACATTCGTATCTTACAAGTAAACTTCACGCAAACCACTACTTTCAACTCGCTAATTAGCAAAGGACAGGAAACTTACAAGTCGATGACGCCCCGCTCATAGCTCCTTGGATAGGGAACCTCGCGAGTAACGTGGGGATGATGTCTCCTTCTAGAGTTGTCAAGGCCGCCATGTACGTCAAGACTTGCCAGCACATCGGAAGTACTGCGGGTAGTGGCATCTGTGCTATTTCTGGCTGGACTATCAGCTGGGAGTGTGGTTGTATGCGAGGTGATAGATCTTTTGGACCGGTTAGACACGCGTTCTGTGCTTTGTTTTCTCTGGAGCCCGAACGCTCCGCCCGTAGCGCTCGCCGGACCAGGATGACCCTTGTAGACGAATTGTGCAGCGCGTGCTGCTACCGCTGCTTGTAATTCTGCGAGTATAGCACGTTCAGTCGTGTTGAACTTTGAATCTTGAGAAGGGATAGAGGGTGAATGGGTTGTAGGATCTGACGTTTGGGTTGAAGTTGATTGGCGCGTAGAGGTGCGCGTGGAGATAGAAGGACGGGTGGATTGAGATAAGTTTGTCGCGGCAGATGTCGAACGAGGGCGGGAAGATGACTCGGGTTGACGAGACACAAACGAAGGATCAGGCATCACAGATGGAGGGATAACAGATGAGCCGATAGCGACACCAGCAACTGTTTGTACAGACTGATGAGCCTTGTGCGATTTCGCAAGAGGGTGAGCTGGTGGTGGTGGTGGCTGAGAATGAGAGAACGAGACGGAAGGAGAGCCGCGAGGAGAACCACCAGGGGTAGGGAGCAAAGACGCTGAACGTGATTTACTATTCGTGCTCCGTCGCCTCTGGATAAACTGGAAAACGTGATAAGAGGCAAGAAAAGTAAGACCACGTGGAACACACATACGGGTATCGACTTGGGTGGACCGTCAGAATGATTGGTGGTATTGAAGCTATACGTCCGCTTCAGCCTCTCTGGATTTCTTGGCGGACGCGGGGGAACAGACCCTTCGCATTCAGACTGGGATATGGTCGGGAATGCAGTCGGTGCTTCGGAGTGCGGCGATAGTATTTGAGGGGTGGGTGAGCGTCGGCGGGAGCGCGAGAAAGGGGACCTCCTTTTTGCCGATGTTGGCGAGGATGTTGGCGACGTTGTGAAGGATTTCATGGTCGTGATTAGGGGGGTTGTGGCATGACCTCGAAGACGTGGTTTATCGCTGTCAGTGGGTGCATCAGACGGTGGTGGTTTGGGCTTCACACGGGAGCGAGGAGGTGTCGACGACGAGCGGAGGCTGAGGGGATACGGGCTCAACATCGTGCTCGACGGCGACGACGACGTCGAGAAGGACAATTACGATGATGACAGCGACAAACACAGTGACTAGACAGCGACTGGGAGAGAAAAGAGAAGAAGAAAAGCTAAAGGGACTACCGAATCTGGGGTAGGGCACAGCCACCTGAAATTCTCTGTATTCGATCAGGTACGTTATCCGCAGTCACCACCACCGCGTGATTCCGACAGTGGCGTTCCTCTATCAATTCAGGTCTGCCATACAACGAAATAGCAATAACATCCCTATCAACAGTCAATATAGCCCTCGTCCACTCCACTGCTGCACTACCACACACATGCTTTCTACAACACCCTCTCCCAATACAGCCTCTTTCGCTCAAGCAGTGATTAAAGACCTAGATTAAAAGCCCACGCTGTCATTTCATCAGGAAGGGAATATCCATGCTATCACGTACAATAGACCATACTATAATGATTAGAAAATCGCTAATATTCCTATCAGTCCTTTCGACCTGTCAATCGCCATCTCATGAATCATTATATCACCACCGCGAGGCAACGTCTTCGACTACTGTTGAGATTCCATCTTCGCCTGGACGATGTTGCTTTCCTAGCAAAGTAGGCACTCGGAAATCAGTTGGTAGTCGCACGAGCGACACTCGCTTCGCTGCCCGAGTCTTGTTCCACTCTTCAGCTAGCTCTGTCTGCGAGTCGCGACCTCCTTGATCAACCAGTGTTGCTGGGTCACTGCTTGTTCGACCAATCATGCGTCCAGACATGTTCAACTCGCCGTGTCCAATCGAACTACAACCTCCTTCGGTCACGGGAGAGTCCGTTTCGTGAGATGCGTTCAAAAAGTGCAACGCTGCCATGTCCTCAACAGATGATGACCAGTCAAGTCCAAGATCTAAAGCGGAATCTAGTGAATTACACATAGACGACTCCGTTTTTGATTGATCGGGTGTATCTGGGGATGGTGCGGCCGAGGATTCTCCTACGGTCACATCTTGGGCGTCAAAACTCATCCTTAGTACATTCTGTGCACTAGAGCTCTGCAGAGTCTCCGTTGCAGCTTGAAGAGCCAAGGTTTTCGTCCGATGGAAAGTCCTTTCTTCCTCAGCCAGATCATTAAGAAGGACATTGCGATGGCAAATGAGTCGCGCCATATCAAGTCGCAGCTGCATGACTTTCTTCGAGGTGTTCTGAACCGCATCTTGCAATCGATCACGAGTAGCCTTCTGGAATGGTGTCATGATACCCACATTACGAACGAACCGCATGTTGGTGTCAAGCTGTGATATCTTGGTAGTCAACTGGGTTTCCAAATCCTCCACTTTGGGTCGAATCAATTGAGATCGAGATGATCCTCGTGACGTGTCACCATCTGGCGTAGAGGCAGGAGAATTCACGGAAAATTCAGAGTTGGGACGAGATCCTGATTCCGGTACAATATGCGGTTCGCCCGAGTACCAGTAACCAGCCGCGAGCTCAGCCTTGACTTGATCAAAGGTGGCCTTAAACTGATAGGCCCCTTCAATCCCAGGATCAACAGGGATCTCCAGGTCTACATCCTGTCGGCCACTCATCATCGTGACTCTGCGACTCTGCATCGATCTCCATGGCTCCTCCACATTATTAGGCGAAGACATATCCGTGGAGTCGTTCAGGGCACGTTGGCCAAAGGAGTGAACTTTAGGCTGAGCTTGATGGTTTTGACGTTGTATGTCATGAAGATGGGAATTGGCCGCGGCAACTCCCGTCAATTCGACATCTTTCCCTGACATGCCCAACGAACGCATTCTCACGCCAGTCGACCTGAAGGTACTGGCATAATTAATGCGAGATATCCATTCATTGAGCTCTTTCTCATCCGACGTTTGGAATAAGATATGTCGACCATCTGCCAAGACGAGGCGGAACGCGTTCACATGCTGCAACGAAGACTACTGAGTCCCAAAATCTTGATCAAAGAATAACACGACATACCTTTGTGTAACTCTTATCATACACCGCAACAGCGTCTTTAATTGAGAAGAGCTCATCAGGCCTAAAGATTGAAGTCTGAGGGTATGGAACTCGGTTCCCAACGTTAGTGGTCCGAGAAAGCAATGCAGCTGCCCAATTCGTATCGCGAAATAGGAGGAGTTGAGATTTAGTAAGTATCACACTGAACGGTTTCCATTTGCGATTCGAAACCTTCTTTCCGCCTTCAAGGATTTCATCCTTACGATTAAGTAGCCCGACCTTGGTGACTTTAAGTGTCCAAACTTGACCCGTCGAGGGTGGGATCTCTGGAAGAGCTCCAACACCGGCTAGCATAGGACTAGGCATGCCCGCAACATTCAGGCCGAAAAATGCAGATGGAAGACGGTTATTGTCAACGATGCCCATTTCGATCACGATAGCGTGTGTAAAGGCATGCAATAACTCTTCTCCATTCAAGGGACCAGTAGTTCCTTGATGTGAATATGGATTCTCTGCGGGTACCAAAGCTTCGACATTGACGCGAAGAGGACCGAGGAGATTCTAGAAATATGAAGATTTAGTAAAGCCGTGACTCGACTTGAAAAAAGTTTCATAGCGTACACGGGTTATAAGATAATAAGGATCGATCTTTGCCCTACCGAACAAAGTAGTCGTAGTCCCACCCGAAGGAAGCGGACTGGGAGGCTGCGTGCCTGCAGCCGAGAATACCCGCGGAGTAGCTCCTTCAAGCATCGGGCCTTGATGGTTGTTTGCGTCTAATGCATCCTCTATAAAGATGAATGGCGCGAACACAATGTTATCATAAAAACACTGTAAGACAAAAGGTTAATTAGACGCTTGTCACGAATCCTGTATACTCACATCTAGGACTTCAGGAGGAACGCCCGGAAGCGATGTATTTTTGATATAATCAGCTTTGGACATTTTCCGCTTGTTAAGTTTATTGAACGCATCCGTATGCAACATAATTAAGCTGAAAGCAAGAATGTATGGGTGGTCTGTAATTGATGTCCTGTCAGCTTAAATTTTTCATCTGCAGTGGAAGAGAATGTAGCAGACCATCACTGGTAAACAGATCTGGGTTGCATCGCAGGTATCTCTTTGCAAAAGCTTCAATGACTCTATCAATTTGCTGCGTCTCTCGAGGTAATGTCACGTCCATCAGCAATTTGCGGACAGCCACGTCAAGAGGATCTCCCAAAAAGCTGAATTGATCCATGTATAACTTCAAGGAATCCATATAAAAAGAATCACCACTGCAATAATGAAAATAACCATTGATGAGTACCTATAAAGTGATCTGATACATAAACAAGAACGCTCACCTCGACGCAAGTATCCCTGCCACTTCAGCTTTGCTGATCAACGCAAGGAGTTTATGTAGATAGGCATCTGGCGATTCTTCCCCCAATTTTGGTTTGGGGATCTCTATTGGCGGTTTGACGGGTACTTGCCGAGGTGAGGTTGATATAGGCGACGCAGAAAATGTATTATCGAAAAACCCAGTCGTTTTTGTCCTCGGAGGTGGCGTTGAAGCAAGGATATTTACAGACAAGCGATGCAGAAGAGGCGGGTTCGTGAGAGAGCGAGGTCGATTACGTGGATCGTGAGGTAGAGATGAGAGAATAGATGAAGGAGGGGCGACGTTTTTCTGCGGACGAGAAGTTTCCGAGGAACCAGGTTGAAAAACCGAGTGGGTACGACTGCGTGACGAAGGGCCTGCCGTAGCCGGACGCTGCTCGAAGGAAGAAGGAGCACGCAAAGATGAACCCGCACCCGCAGTAGAAGGTCGTTTATTTGTACGAGGTGAATGTGGAGACGAGGGATCTGCGGTTGCTGGGCGATGACGAGGAGGTGGTCGAGCTGAGGCATTTGCTATTGGTAACTCCGGAACAGGACCATTGGATGAAGATAAAACAGGTTTCCTTCCCTTCTCTGAATGACGTCTGGACAAACTTGAAGGTGTACGCATGCCTTGGTTTTGTAATGAGGCGGACGACGGGAATTCGATGTCCATCGGAGACGTGGTTCGGACCATAGGTAGAGCGGAAAGATCAGGTGGGACAAGACGATGCTTGACTGACCCTGGAGAAGATTCAACCTTCTTGCCTGACCAGAAAGAAGGTCTACGAAAGAGACTCCTTGAGTTGGTATGCGGCGCATTCTGGGTATTCGCATCAGACGCAAAGGAGACGCCACGGGTTCCAGTTATTTGTCCGAACTCGGACATATATGGAGTGTCACGGATGTCGGCTGATCTTATAGAATGACAACTTTTGCTATGCCGCAGATCAGGCTTCGAGTCTCGAGACTGAGAAAATGGCGTCAGGGGCGCGACCTGAGCTGTGTGAACTTCTTGGACAGATGAAACAGAAGCACGAGGTATAACGGGAGGCACTCCTACTTGAAGAGCGGTATGTGCGAGGACAGTTGTGGAACGAGGGGGGGAAGGTAAGGAAAGGTCTACTTTAGAGGACTGGTGTGAGGTGACGCGAGGATAAGGAGAGCATGGGATGGGAGGTCCTGAGATAACTTGGTCATCGAGGGTGTTTCCCACTCTCTTGTCCAGCTTCGCGATAGAATGTCCATTTGAAAGGCTGGGTGCACTATTTGACGGTGTAGGAGGCAGATCTTTTTGCAGCACAGGATTGCTGAGAAGTGTGTGAGAAGTAAGTTCTGGGTCGAGAGTTCGAGGACCCTCCGATATTCTGCGAACAGGAAAGGCAGCTGGAAGTACGCGTTTTCGCCAGAGAGGCAATGAGAAAAAGTGGGAGTTTGGCTGGGTGGAGGTGGGAGGAATATCTCTGGTGGGGGATGCAGAATCAGGAAAGGGGACGTAAGATGGACTGTCTCTGCCAATGTGGGCAGGGGGAGGACGAGAGGAGTCTGAACGTCGAGCCTCAACGCTGGAGAGACTCTTTCCGCCCAAGCCAAGAATACCAACCATTCGCCAGGAGGATCGCCAGGGTGCAGAAGAAACAAGAGATATCGAAACTGAAGACTGTTTCCTCACAGATAGGGTAATAGGACAGAATAAGGACAAGCCTGGGGCTGCTTGTCGTTGGTGTGAACTGAACCTCGGCCACACTCTTCAGCCACGGTAACCCGTTTGGCGGGAACGAGTTGGCGCCGAAATATGTCGGCTGACTAATCCATATAGCCTCGTTCCTAGCCAGGCCCATTGACTGCGGTTGGTGGTGCCACTTTAGCTTGAATATTGCAGCCACTGGTACCACTCTCTGACAAGGGCCCAGTGATAACCAAAATATTGACCTACAGCATCACACGTACACCGTGCTTTCTCATCTCCCTTAGTCTCCCATCTCTCCCTCGACCAAAACTTCTCTACAGCAGTAGGTATGACGACTGGGAGCAATATCATATACACCAAATCTGTGCCACCAAAAAGATAGCACTGCTTCGTGTGCTGAACTGGAATATTATTAATATTGTGCAAGTTTGAGAAACGCGTAAACGCCGAGCATCATCAAGTCGCCAGTCGCCAGTTTGACCACCGGCATGTCTGCTTACTTTCTATCACCAGACATGTATACAGTCGCTCTCAGCCTCTTCCTAGGCGTTACACTCTCTTTTATCCTTGCAAGGAATCTGGTGAGAAGGATGGCAAAGATGCCAATGCCGCCTGGTCCTCGACCTTGGCCTATAGTGGGAAACATGTTCAGCATCAGCCCAAACGAACCTTGGGTCACTTACATGCAATGGGGGAAAATTTATGGTGCGTCTGCCAACTAGTTCACTTTAGTTGTATCTCAAATATCACTTCACCAGGCGATCTCGTCCACTGTCGTGTTCTGACTCGGGACATCATTATCTTAAACTCAGAGAGATTAACAAAAGCTCTCCTCGAGCGGCGTTCGTACAACTATTCAGACAGACCACAGCACATTAGCAACCATCTGTATGTAAACCATCCACATATTCCAACAGAGGATCGCACCCATGTCTTTCAATTGTAGCTTTGGATGGGGCTTCAATTCGCTATTCCTCGCATACGGTGATGAATGGCGATTACACAGACGCTTGTTTCATCAAGCCTTCAGAGCAGAAGCATCTCTCACCTATCGGCCTATGCAGCTCTCCAAAGTTCATCAGATGCTACTAAACTTGTTCGAAACACCAGAAGACTATAGTGAACACATGCAGACGTGAGGGCCATTGGCAAGCGCAAAAACAAGCAAAATGCGTTCTTACAGTAGCAATGCTGACAATGCCATGGACTAGGTGTTCGACAGCGATCATCATGGCAGCGACTTATGGTTATGACCCATCCCCAAGACATGATCCTTTAGTGACAATTGTGGAACGTAGTGTGGACATGATTGTCAAGGCATTGCGGCCCGAGGTAGCTTCCATCCTCGACGCACTACCATTTCGTGAGCACATGTTTCACGCGACATACCTTCACCATGAAGTTGACACGACCTTGCAGTACGCCATCTTCCTTCATGGTTCCCTGGGGCGGGTTTCCAGCGCGATGCTATCGAATGTCGAAAAGTCACTGCGGAAATGGTGGAGCTTCCCTTCAAATATACGAAGAGCAGCCTCGTACGGATTTTTAATCTTGATTAATTAATGGTTCTCTGAATAAGACGCAGACTGCAGGTACAGCGGCACCCTCCATGGTTTCTGATATACTTAGCCGAGAAAAAGAGGACGATTCTCACGAACTTGCACTCAAGCACGCTTCTGCTACTGCGTATGGTGGTAAGTAATACCAATATTCTCCTGCTTACATTGTCTTATTTACCGTTCGTCTACAGCCGCGTCAGAATCCGTGAGTTGCATTTAGTCACGTCAGTAGTTCTTTCCATGAAAGGCAAAAACTAGTCAGCATCGACCTTTCAAGTTTTTGTCCTCGCGATGTTCGAACATCCCGAGATTCAAAGGAAGGCTCAGGAAGAAATCGACTTGGTAGTGGGTCGAGACAGACTTCCAGATTTTAGTGATAGACCATCATTACCTTATGTTGAAGCACTCGTTCGGGAGACTCTTAGATGGTTCCCTGTAGTGCCTCTGGGTAAGTGTCGTCCTGTGGATTTTCAACTGCTTAATCATAATCGAGCAGGTCTTCCTCATGCTACCACGGAGAGCGACATATTTGAAGGTTACTATATACCCAAAGGTGTGTAACAAATTCAATTTTAATCTCGATGTGGTCAAATTAATGTCAGGATAGGAGCATTGGTAATCGCAAACATATGGTGCCCATGTTCTTACGAATACCACATCACTTGACCCTTATTATTTTGTTTAATAATGCAGGGCTATCACACACAACGAAGACAAATACCCCAACCCATCTGAGTTCAGACCTGAACGGTTCTTTCTACCTGATGGCAAGCTCAACGACGATACCATGGGCGTCATCTTCGGGTTTGGCAGAAGGAACTGCGTAGGTCGGTATGTCGCTGACGCATCGATCTGGGCGGGGATTGTCTCCATGCTAGCTGTCTTTAGCATCAGAAAAGCGAAAGATGAGCTGGGTAGAGATATAGAAGTCGAGCCGGAATGGTCGACTGGATTAGCTATGTAAGCCGTTTTAAGATTTCTATCGTGGACTCGTACCTGATTTCCTGGTAATAATAACAGCCGTCCGCGTCCGTTCAAATGCTGCATCGAGCCAAGATATCCAGAGCTGGACTCTGAAAGGCTGACCCAGATGATCCAAACCTTTTGCTAAATTGTAGGTCTCGCAATGTAGCAGTGGAGTCATTGTCGCCAGTAAGCGTCGTGTATTTAAGGAAAAGGTAAAATACGGAGTGTACAAATGCTTTATAAGATTATTATTCTTATAATATATCGCCAAGTATACCATAAACTAGTACATTGCTACATCTGAAGCTAGAGACAAGTTACCATACTACCCAAGAGCCTCCTACCTCTTAATTAGGGCATTCAACGAGCATAATCTATTGATACTAGGATCGAGACTGGGACGAGATATAGTCCATATAAGCTTAGGTATGCTCTCGACAATAGTGTAAACCTGGGCCCCTTATGAAGTGTGGGCGTTCTTCCGAAAATCCAATGGTGCAAGGCACGATGAGATCCTTGCTGTAGTAGGGTAGTGTACGCGTGTCAGACATACAGAAAAGTCCCTAAACGCCAATAAGTTAAAGTGAACGAATGGGCGTGATGCGATGACTCACAATGAAAGTCAACTCTGATCCGCCTAGTCATCTCTCCAATGGACTTGGCCAGAAGTCCAGCGCTCACTCCACATTTCACGTTTATGGTAGAGTTTCCGCAGTTCTTTGAATTCCTTCACAAATTGATCAATGTCTTTACCGCTGGAATTCGTTGATGGTGAGGCATCAGAGAACGACGACACGAATGAGGAGGCCAACACTTCGGACTCGTCGTCCTGTGCTGTCGTGGCGTGTCTTAAGCGTAATAAAAGAAATTGAGGGTTGAACCGCTGGTAAAAGGATGAGAATTAGGAGGAGGATAAAGTTTTAGGATCACTAAAAGTAAGACGGACCTGATATACTTCTTTCTGCTCGCGCTCTAGCTCTTTCCACCTAGCTTCCAGCGATTTTGCATCATCAAAAGCATCCTTCGTTTCGCTTCTGAGCTGGTAGAGTCGTTCTTGGAGACACAGGTTATTGTCTAAAGGCGATACATATGAACGTTGTCAAACGTGATCGTTGGTGATGCAAGACTCACTAGCAATCGACTCATTCGCCATCCCCAGTTCTGCTTGGGCCTGGTACAACGCCTTTACTTTGTCGAGGGATTGGAATATGCACTGAAAGTATTGCGGATCGTTCAAAAGATCTTCAAGATCTTCTCGTCTGGAAAAGAATTATATGAGGTTGTGACTTCAAGCCAGTCCACTCGTAGGCCTCACGATAAATGTGCCAGCTCGGGAAAGTCTGTCATTAAAGATGTTGAAGCCATTGTAGCAATATAATGTACTATGTGGATATCGTTGAGTGTGATATCGGTATGACTGGTACCAGTGGTATAAGGACTGAAGTGACAAGTTCGGGATGTTCAGAATACGGACCTTTCCTTTCCGAGCCATGTCTATCGTCCTCCCTGGCGAGCGTATTCCCGCCCAACATGTAAATCTCAAACTGGGACCTGGTTTGCTGCAAATACCGAGTACCCAAAAGGAAAGCCCTGTTATTGCCACTCGTGCTGGCAACTTGGAACATTCTGTGAACCGTAGCAAGTGGTGGGTGGAAAGTAATGCGCGACGGGTCAGTCCTTTCACTATCTCGAAAATGACAATAAGCGGGCTCATCCTTGGACGATCATACAGTATGTTCCTGCGGCTCAAGAATCTGTAGTAGGAGTGGTGGTTGGGCGAAGCGGTGAAGGTTGGCGTGTTGATATCGGTTCAGCACACAGTGCTTCTTTGGACGGGCTGGCTTTTGAAGGGGCAACGAAAAGAAACAGACCAAATCTGAAGGTGATTCTTTTCTGATACATAACTCATCAGAGGCTAACTCTACGAACGCAGGTCGGGTCACTGGTTTATGCGCGCGTTTCTCTTGCTCATAAAGATATGGAACCTGAACTCGAGTGTTTCGACGCACAAAGTCGCAAATCAGAAGGTTTTGGCGAACTAAAAGGAGGATTCGTGGTGAGCTGTAGCCTCAGAATGAGTCGAATGTGAGTCCTAGATCTGGAATCTGAACTGGACGTGTGACTCATAATGAATAGTTTGCTGGATCCTAAACATTTCCTGCTGCCACTCTTAGGAGCACGTTTCCCTCTAGAGGCTGCGGTAGGCGTGAATGGGAAGGTTTGGATCAGTACAAAAGATCCTCGTCAGACTATAGCTGTCTTGAGGTGCATCAAAGCGGTTGATCCAGATGGAGGAGGTATGGGCGAAAGTGTTATTAAAATTTTTCTCGGCACATTAGAAATATAGTTTTGATGAACAGAACACCACCCGGAGGGACATAACTATGCATCTCGAGCATATTTACAACATCGAAAAATCCATATGGATCATGCATGGTAAGTGCATTGGTGAAAAAACAATTAAAATACAAAGCAGTGGTACACTTTAGCTTGGTGATACTGTAATACATGGAAATATAAATACTTAGTCATCTTCCGCCATTTTTTGTCTTTTGGTCGGTCGGCGTCCTACGCTGATGCTGTCCTCGTCGCTAATTGTCCCTGTGCTGCGACCCCTAGCGGCATTAGCTCTCTTCCGTCTTTGATACTCTCTGTCTCTGGCTTTCTTATTCTGTGCAGCCGTAAGTTCCTGTGTCCTGGTGGCAGGTGGGACGATGACTGTAGTGAGACCTGGAGTGGGTTGCTTAGAAAATTCATCAGCAGCAGCAGTGGACTCCTCTCCTTCACCAGACAACTCTAATGACTAAATGAATAGAGTCAATACCATAACGGTGAGAATGAAAGTAAACATTAAGGGTCTCCCACCTTTTGATATGTCAAGCTGCTAGTCGAGAACATACGGTCTGCCTCGCTGACCTCGTGCTTCCGTCTACCCACCGTTTGATTCTTGAGATAGCCGTCAAATCCTTGTATGATATTGCCTCCACTGTGGGCAGCTGTTTCCAGTAGATAGTTGCCTTCTAGGTTGTATATCTGCACCTCTATCTGAGCCTAGATAAACGCGCTATGAATGTTTGCACCAACGAATGAGATCAGCGTTGAATAGGGGACGCACTAGCTGTTTGTCCGCTCCGCGTTTCTTCATGAGCATCCTGACAAGCTCTTCCTTTAACTTGTCGTATCGCGCCTTATCCTCTGCAGTGGGTGCAGCATCGTTCTGCGACATGGTGACGATGAAAAGAGTGGTCGTCGTCGACCAGACGTCGACGGACTTTGCGTTTGGACCAAGATTGTAATAAAACAAGCTATGTTGTCAACGAAATAGTACCCTCTTGCTGAGGAGCGCTGAGAGCTTGAAAGGGGACTTTCCCACGTGGCCAGTTCCGGTTGTATTTGGCAGGCTTTGTAACTGGAACGCGCGTCGGTGCTCTTGCTCTCATCGCTGGACCCGCTTTATACAGGTCATAACCATGTCTTCTTCTGCACCCCCACCACAACCGCCACCCAGCAACCCCGAGAAACAACCAGAGTCGCAGTCATCGGACTCGACATCGGCATCACCACAGGATGGCACAATGGACACTACCCCAGACCAACCACCCGCGGAAACTTGGAGTGACATTCCAGAAGACATAATGACTCTTGGTACCGACGAAATATTGACAAGGATACGGCTCATTGAGAATGATATCAAGGTATGTATTGTGAGCTATTGTCTCGAGGTAGAAACATACATAATACTTTATATGCCGGTTAGGTAATGAAATCAGAAACGCTGAGGCTGCAGCACGAGCAGAGTGTAATGAAAGAAAAGATTCGTGATAACGGAGAGAAGATCAAACAGAATAAGGTCTTACCGTACCTAGTGGGGAATGTCGTCGAGGTGCGCTTATATCTCTAAAATTCGAGCTCACCGGCTTAGCTTTGGTCTACAGATTCTTGATGTGGATCCTGAAGTAGAGGAGGATGGTGCAAATCAAGATTTAGATTCTATGCGGAAAGGAAAGTGTGCTGTTATTAAAACTTCGACCCGGCAAACGGTTTTCCTTCCCCTTATCGGCCTTGTTCCCCCCGAGAAACTAAAACCAAGCGACCTCGTGGGTGTGAACAAAGATTCGTACCTCATTCTTGATACTCTTCCGGCAGAATTCGACTCTCGTGTAAAGGCTATGGAAGTAGATGAGCGACCAACAGAGACTTACACAGATATCGGTGGTTTGGAGAAACAAATCGAGGAGCTGGTTGAAGCCATCGTACTTCCCATGGAGCAAGCCGATAAGTTTAAGACTCTTGGCATCAAACCACCGAAGGGTTGCTTGATGTATGGACCACCCGGTAAGGCAAACGCAATTGCCTACTTGTTCACTACTCACCTATGGATATAGGTACCGGAAAGACTCTGTTGGCTCGAGCCTGTGCAGCACAAACAAAGGCCTGCTATTTGAAACTGGCTGGTCCTTCACTGGTACAAATGTTTATTGGTGATGGTGCTAAGCTCGTACGCGATGCATTCGAGCTGGCGAAACAAAAGGCACCTGCAATCATCTTCATCGACGAGCTGGATGCCATCGGCACGAAGCGTTTCGACTCAGAGAAGAGTGGTGACAGGGAGGTACAAAGAACCATGCTGGAGCTGCTTAATCAACTTGATGGATTCAGCAGTGATACTCGTATCAAGGTAATACTTTCCCTTATTCGGTCTCACTCGTAATCTTACACTGGTATGTTCTAGGTGATCGCTGCTACAAATCGAATTGATATCCTTGATCCGGCTCTGCTTCGTTCCGGCCGTTTAGATCGCAAAATCGAATTCCCTCTGCCCAATGAAACTGCCCGTGCCCGTATTCTCGAAATTCACTCCAGAAAGATGTCTGTATCGCCTGATGTAAATTATGAAGAGCTGGCGCGAAGTACGGATGAATTCAACGGCGCCCAGCTGAAAGCCGTTTGCGTTGAAGCAGGTATGGTAGCTTTGAGAGAAGGCGCAACGAAATTGGGGCACGAACATTTCCTTAGTGGCATAGCGGAGGGTAAGTTCATTTTTCGCTTCTTGTCTGTCCTCGATGATGCTAAGCTGTGTTTTGCAGTGCAAAGCAAGAAGAAGAATGACCTGATGTACTTTGCATAGTTTCTCGACCAGTGATACATAGAAGAGTTCTGCAATGCCAGTGTCCCCGTTTTAATCCTTTTCCTGTTCCTTCGTTTTGTAATTCCGCATGTTTACGTGCTCACTGACCACATATTGCCTGATGAGGGTGGCCCCGTGAGTGTTGAATCGTCATTAAGCCACGAGGCATCCCTTTCCGCGAACTGAGTTATACTTTCTTTATCAGGTATGTAAGTCGTCGTTTTGCCCATGGATTATAAAGCGATTTCTGACCCATGCCATCGATATCAACCATTTTCACCAGAACGCTGCCACCGGGTCTTTAGAGTGCCCGTCACAGTGAAATAGTTAAGTTTAATTAAGCTGTGAGTCTTCTTTGGTCCCCTATTGGTCAACGAACACCTCGTTGCGCTTCATGGTGAGATATCAGGAAATACACGGGCATTGAGCTCCACAAGTCGTAAAAATACTTATAACATCAAGAGGTCACTCAGAACCTTTCAAACCCTGAACCCTCTTTCAAGTTTGTCTAATGACCGCACCCTTTACAATGTCTATATGTCGGCTGCTTTCGGTATTGCTGGTGGTCTTTTTCACCAGCATCGCTTCAAACGCTGCCGTTGTGCGTGACACTCCCGCTGGTACTATCTCATCTCCGGCGGATGACACGACCATTGCACCTGGGGCGTCGTTTGATTTCCATTACAACACTAGAGCTGATTATGGAGTATCGAGCTACAACTTTACCGTGTGGTTGTGGTCTAATGTTTCTTTGACCATGGCTTCCCCGGGCCAGCTCGCAACTGGTCACTATTTCGGTCGTTTCTCTGAGGAAAATTATCCAGGCACGAATGTAGTCATTTTTTGGATTCATGATGTAAACTAATTTTTTTCGTAGGGAACCCCAGCCCTGAGAATCCAGTACCTGCTCAGTTAGTCATGCCAGACTTGGCAATTTCTCCTGGTGGTTTCGGTGCTGGCGCCAATGGAACAAATGCCATTTTTTACATTGTTGTAATAGAGGAGTGGGCTTCTGGGGAGGTAAGTCTGATCGGCTTATTACTTTGATCATATCTATGGATTGTTCATCACGCACTTCAATACACAGGCGGCTCTGGGAACAAGATTTAGCACCGCATCCAATCGAATCATGTACAATTCAAGTTCGAGAGTCTAAACTATATCAGCTCCAGTCCAACGCCAGACTCAAGTTTATCCCAAATCCTCTTCTCTCTCACTTGATGATGACCTAGTAGTAATATTGTTCAACTGGCCGACCGATAGTCGCTGCTATGAGTCTATAATTATTACAGTGCCCTCGTCTCTTCATCAATTCTTCATCGTTCATCATGATATGATGTTTGATACATGCATTGCTGATCCACGATGCAGTCTGATGCAGCCAGCGGAATCAAAGTATGTTATTATTGTACTCAGTTTTTGTGATGAAGTTCAAAGGTCTGTTAATCTGTTTGCTCCTGCTACTCACAAATTCCGCGGAGTCGAACATGTTATAAATGGCCTCCGTGATGAAGTTCAGGCTCGGATTGCATATAGACGCCACTGAACTGTCAAACGCATTATTGCAATCGGCTAACGTGACCTGTGCGCGCCACTGCAGGCAGTCTGGTCGCGTCTTGTCTTCAATTATCATGCATATATCATGATGCTATAGCATTGAATCTCGTATATACCTGCACGCTGGATTGGGATTACGTCCTACGTTGATTTGTACCCTCGTCAAGTAAGTACTATCACTCCCACACTGCTTATACTATGAACAGACATGATATCTTATCATGGAATATTAGTTATAGCGCCCTGGCTGCACTAGCGGGAGATTCCATCAACGTCTACGTTGTCCTGCCATTGTACAGCCTTTCACGTCAGATTTGCATACAAACGACATACAAACGTACCTGTATCACATAAAGTAAAGGTATCTTGACTTGTATGCGCTTGCCTTTTGACTTCGAGCTCTCTCATACTTATCGATTCTGTTTAGATAGTCCCTCGACTGTTTTTTGCACCATCCAGCTGTTTGACCTTGCCTGAGAACAGAAATGGCGGACAGTAATTCAACAATTATCTCCGAACCCCAGTTTCACCTGGGTGACACATACGGTGTACTGCTCATGGGTCTTTTATTTACTGCCATGTAAGGATCGTCTCCATCATAGTATCTCCATTCTCACTGTTGCGCATCTTTGTCAACCTCGCAAAAATAATGACAGATTGTTCGGTCTCACCATCATCCAGTCTTTCATCTTCTTTCAAACGAATTGGCGACGTACGTTTTTCGGTTATAAGCTTATAGTGAGTTCTAAGGACTTAGGATGATGCATTCGCATGAATGCTCATTTCATGACTTCGGTCAGGTCTGCTGGCTAGGGTATTTTTCCGTGTGATATTGCTCTACGGGCGTCTCCTGATGATATTGGTCACCCTAGTTTTCTTGATGCATTCCACTTGGGCCTGATCGCACATATACTGTACTACTATCTGGTGTTGCATTACGCGGATCCTTCAGTGCTTCCGGTTATTGTATGGAGCATGAAAGTAAGTACCGTTCTGAGTTTAGTCGGAATCTCTCTCTCTCTTACTGTTTTTCTTTCATTTGCAGCTGCAAGTTGTTCTTTGCGTGAGTGATGAGTAGTCATGACCAGTTCACCGTGCATAAAATCAAAGTTCTTTTATGGAAACAGATGTTTGTCGTATATACCGTACATTGGTGAGTAACTTGTGCAAATTCTTTCTTTCTTCGTGATTTCTGAGATTTATCTTAGCCTATATGCACAGCGTATTTGGTTCTGTGAGTGATTACTCTCGGCGGGTCATTGCTTGAAAACCTGTTAAGATGAACCTAAATACTGAAATAAACCCATACAGTGAGCCGAGGAAAGGGGAGGATGTTACCTATACTTGTGGTGAGTATGCGGTTCTATGTAATCAGTATGTATCGATGACGAGCAACTTTGTGATCAGACGATTATTGTAGTCCTTAGCACTGGTATGTTTTTCGCCTTGAGTGGTTGGTTCTCCTCTGAATTTGAGTCGGGAAAAACGATATTTGTCTTCAGGGATTGCAATAAGTGAGTGTTCGCTGAGATAACAGTCACTGACGGCCTGATACTATCATATTTGTAGGTATAAGCGTAGCTGTGTGAGTTGTCTTGCTCTCCTGACTCTTAACAACCTCCCATATCTCCCGGAATCCCGTGGACTCACATGCTTGTGCAGGTACCAGTGTTATTTCTTTTTAGATTTGTTAAAGGTCGAGGTATGTATCACAATAATCATCCTTTGCTTTTTCTTTTACTCACTACCCCTCGTGCAAATCATTGTTTCCGGCTCAATTACTTCCCTTAGTGGGCGATATATTTAACGTTGAGTATCATGGCCTTCAATGATATCGTCATCGCTATCTCCATGTGCCGTCTTTTGGCAGCGCACCGCACGGGATTTGCAAGGTAAATATTGGAGTTTTGCTTTTTCTTTATCTTTCTGATTTGTATGTCTTAAATCTACCGCATCTAGCACGGATAGTACGATTAAAATGCTCATGATGTACATTGTACACACAGGGTGTTTGACGAGGTATATTCCTTTTGGCCCCTTTGGTCGCTTTGTCTCCCTAACAGAGAACGTGTAGTTTATTTTCAGTTTTAACGCTCCTCATGGTACGTTCAAGTTAGATATCTAGGACACGGTAATCAATATTTTATGGTAATTCCCCTAGTATGCTGTCATGCCGGAGAACTTCATCTTTCTAGGCTTTGACTTCCTATTGGCAAAACGTACGTGGATTCTCTTACCTTTTCGGGGTATTGGACAATGATAAACTTTGACTGCGCAGTTTACGTTAATTCTTACCTGGCTCTTTTAAATGCACATCGATACCAAACTAGTGATGGGGCCTCAAGTTGTCTACCTCGAGGCAATGCCACGAACGATATCAACCCACTCAAGGACTCTCATACCTTCAGTTTCCCAGGGAAACCCAGGCACTCGAGTTGGAGCCACGAACCACTTTATGAGAACATCGCCCAAGCGCATAGTCGTGCAGAATCTGTTAGTTTACCACCATTGATCCCGAATCGAGGACCACCTGTAGATATGTGAGTCTATCATTCTGTGTCGCGGCGTATATCTGATCGTTAGTCAATAGCGTAGCGATGAATTTGATCCCACCACACTGAGCCTGGACACCATCGCGACGTAAGCTTGCTGGAAACAGAAGTAGTTTATATCCTTCATGTTAGTGTAGTATGTACCCGTTTATCCCTTGCCAATATTAATAGGATTGGACTTCGACTTCGTGACTTTGTGCAGAAGCTCATTCACTCGAGCGAGCTGCCAAGATGATGTCTTACACAAACTTGTATGAACAATCAAAGTTTCAAAGAATCTAGAGCTGGATTGCATGAGCTATCAAAAAGAAAAGTGATATAATCGTATATACGTCAACGGTCAAAATCGTACATGTACCAATCGTAAGTAAATAATTCATCAAGTTGGGCTGCTGTATTAAAAGGGTCCGTATGTATGTAAATATGTAAAAGTGATACAGGGGATTTTGTTTCTGGTATTGTCCATCTAAGGTCGGTATCTACTTCTTGCTCAGCGCCTGTAATTGAACATATTCGTAATAGTCTCCCCGGAGATTGAGAAGTTCATCGTGGGTGCCTGACTCGCTAACTCGTCCCTCCTTAATGAAGTAACTGAAAAAAATTACAGTGTCAGCTCGTTGTAAATGTTGTCATAGTGTAGATTTAGCTTACATGCAGTCAGCATTTTGAATCGTTGAAAGCCGATGGGCAATAGCAATGGTGGTTCGACCTCTCGCAGCTTGGTCAAGAGCCGCCTGGACAACTTTCTCTGAGTTGGAGTCAAGAGCTGAAGTCGCCTCGTCTAACAGGAGAACCTTGGGGTTACGAAGAAGTGCACGAGCGATGGCAATACGTTCTGTACGCCACGTTCAGGTCAGAACAGTGAAAGAGAGTATCCGATTGATACTTACGCTTTTGACCACCAGAGAGCTGGGAACCCTTGCCACCAACTTCAGTGTCGAAACCACTGTGAGATAAATTCAGTCAGTATGAAGAACTTTCCATGTGATGAAGAAGCCTTACTTGGGTAATGACTGGATGAACTCAAGGATGTTTGCATTCCGACAAGCATCTTCAATCTCTTCCTGGGTTACTTCTGACTCTGGCTTGATAGCTCCGAGGAGAATATTGAAGCGTATTGTGCCAGCGTAAAGGGTGGGTTCCTGTGAGACCAACGCGATTTGTTTCCGGTATTCCTGGATATTCAACTCGTTGATGAGCTCATTGTCAAGGTATATTTGTCCAGCTAATGGATCGTAGAAGCGCTCGATCAATTGGATACTAGTATGGAGTTATGTTAAACACCAATAAAACAACAAGGAACACGAGAACTTACACAGTACTCTTGCCAGATCCACTAGCACCAACCAACGCAATGTAAGTGCCAGGCTCCACTTTGAATGAGAGATCACGGAGAACGCGAACACCAGGCCTAGTAGGGTATCGGAAGTGGATGTTATCGAAACGAATCCTTCCTTGGACGGCTGCAGTGTCGACTTTCTTGCCTTCAGGTGACTCGGCGTCAATCTCTGGGAGGGAGTCGATCAACTTGATGATAGCAGAACCAGCACCTTTGGCGGATGAGATATCAGGTACAAAGGAGAAAACGTTGCCTGCTTGGATAGCTCCGAAAGTTGTGCTCTGGATGCCAAAGATGAGAAATTTGGTCATCTGAAAATCTAACCGAAGACTTACCATGAGAGCCACAAAGAAAGAGGTAGTGTTGATCTCTAGACGCGAAACCAGAGTTGAACCGTACCAGAAGACAAGAGCAATCACGAAGAACGACATAGATTGGGATAGCGAGTATAAAAGGTTACTCCACACTGCAGTTCTATTGGACTTCCTGAGAGGTTCTTCCAAACTATTGCTATAAAGCTCGAGGCAGTCATTTTCTCGGGTAAGAGATGCAACGGTGCGAATTGCTCCGGCGGCTTCACAAGCTAATTGAGCAGAGCTCTCGTGGGCAGCCTTATTTTTCTGGTCCTTCAACACGACGACATGCTATTGATGATAAGAATTTAGTTATAACTTGACTGGCAATCCCTGCATTGCAGCGCGACTGACCAGACGAATATACCCAGCGGAAACTAGAACGGGAATACAAGCTAAAAAAAGCTGATGAGAACACGAGCCGCCATCGAGATAAACATGCATACCCATGCCAACGATAGCAGGCTTCCAGGCATATGCTAAACCGATGATAGAACCGCCGACAAGAGTGACGATACTTTGCACAATTCTGCGAGTTTCAGAATTAGCGTGAGCGACCCAATACAACTTTAAAGACGAAAGAGTGAACCTACGCTCCGAGAGTGACACCAGCAAGACCATTAACTTTCTGAGGGTTGTCACTCAAGTTGGCAGTAAGGGAACCGGTCTGGTTACATAAGTCAGCATGAAATCATATTATAATTGAAGAACAAACATACGCTGTTTTCATCCCTATCGAAGTATTCGACTACAAGTAAAAATGAGTCATTTGATTTAAAAAATATGCACTGCACACTGAACCGACTTACTGTCTTGTCTCAAAATAGCTTTGAAGGTGAGAGAGCGCAGTCTAGAGGTAAGGATTGCGGCGGCCGAAGCAAATAAGTAATTCTGGAAACCAATAGATATTGAGGCGATGATGGCAATAACGAAGAACCTGGGAGACAGTTCTTAAGATATCAATATTTAACAGTGATGCTCCATGCCATACTCACCACAGGGCATTGCGATCACCATCAAACCGACGAGTGGCATTGTCCGGCACCGAGAAACCATTTATTGCTGAACCTGATGAAGCTATTGTTTAGGTATACCGAAGGTAAAGCAGGCACACAACTGACCATAAACAATACCGAATACCGGATATACCATGCCAGTCACTGTTTCAAATGATCAACACCTACATATAGAGAGCTGTATCGATCTTACTCACAAGAAGCAAATATAGCGCCTAGTAAATACTTATGCAATCCCTCACGGTTTACACCAGCCAGACGTTTGAAGAGGTAAGGAAGAGTGAGATCATCACTCTCATCAACTCCACGCTTTTCTTCCTCCTTCTGCTTGATGATGTCGCTCGCCAAAGAATGACTAGTGTTTTTTCTGCCAAGGGGCACTTCTTCTTGTATAGCTTTCTCAATATCCTCTTCGTCCTCAACGCTAGCGGCAGTAGCGCTGTCGCCATCACCAGCCTCTTTCTCGCGGCGCTCACGAAGTTTTTGAGCGTGAACGAGACGAGAGTATGCACCATTTTCGTCGCTTAAAAGTTCGTCGTGTGTACCTTGCTCCAAAACGAGGCCTTCGCCCATGACGAATATACGGCTGGCATCCTTGATCGTTGACAGACGATGAGCGATGGTGATAGTTGTACGGCCTGCAGCTGCCTTGTCTAAAGCATCCTGCACAATACCTTCCGACTGTGTATCGAGAGCACTAGTAGCCTCATCAAGGAGCAGTATCCGTGGATCCGAAACAATAGCCCGAGCAATGGCCACGCGCTGCTTCTGGCCTCCAGAAAGCAAAAATCCACGCTCGCCTACCATGGTGTCGTATCCCATGGGCAGCTTAGTTATGAACCCATCGGCATTGGCTTTAATACACGCTTCCTTGATAAGCTTGAACTTCTCTTCAGCAGGAGCGTTCTCGTATACAGTATTGATTAATCCATGCTCGACGTTGCCCCTGATGGTTGTTGCAAACAGAGTTGGTTCCTGTGACACAAGACCAATTTGGGAACGAAGCCATTTGAGATTAAGCTCTCGAACGTCCACCCCATCCAGTTTGACTGAACCAGATAGGGGATCGTAGAACCGTTCGATCAATGAAACAACCGTCGACTTTCCAGACCCAGAAGCGCCAACGAGTGCAGCTGTCTTACCAGCTGGGAATGATATAGAAAGGTCCTTGACGATCCTGACGTCAGGGCGGGAAGGATAGTTGAATTTAACATTTTCGAATATAATCTCCCCAACAACGTTTTCGGGTTTTAGGCCTCCAGGATTTGCAGAATCAATATCAGGCACGCGCTCAATCGTTGAGAACAGCTTAGCCGCTGCTCCACGTCCGTGCGTAATAGCTTTAGAAGTGGTGATGAGGGACGAAAGGTTAATGTGAGTAAAGATTGATTAAGCGTACCTTGCATTTCTGGTGCAAGCAAGGCAAGAGAGAAGGAACCAATCAAGACAGCCAAAAATACATTCACAACCTCGCCAGCATTTGCTTGGAAAGATCTCTTCAGTCAAATGTGTAAATGAAAGCGGTAAAAAATGCTCACCATGACCATCATTAATGAGAGTCGTACCGAAATCGAAAGCTATGATGTCATGAATCAGTAATCCAACATCACAGCACGCTCAACAGAGGATATGGATACCTAAAGCATATGCAGAGTAAATCACGAAGAAAAAGACTGCCAATCCTCCACCGTGCCAAATAGCAGCTTTGGAATCAACGACACGGGATCCTTCGATGTGACCGTCATACAGAGCGCTCAATATTTTCTGAGTTCCGAAAGCTTGGGCCGTGCGAACAGTAGAGATGACTTCCTCTGCAAGCGTTCCTCCATCAGCGACATGTTTGAGGGATAACCTGGGTTAAGTGAACATGAGCAGTCCAGCGGCAAGAATTCAGGTAAATACATACTGCATATACTTAGAAACAAATCTGTTCATAACCGATCCTGTAACCGCTATACATGGCAAAATTGAGGACAATGCTAAGGCAAGTCGCCATGATCGGATATATGCCAGTATAAAACCGGTGGCGAAAGCGGACAGGAAATTGACTACTAGTGCCACTTTTTCAGACATCCCTTGCTGAACCAAGTCTGGGAGTAAATGCGCAAGCAAGTGAGCAGAATATAATCGGAGGTTGAAGTTATTGTACTCACGAGTATCCGTCTGTATACGAGTAGCTACCTCTCCTGCGCCCACGGTATCAAAAAAGGCAATATCTTGACGGAGGATGGCCTGAAGATAGCGTTCACGTATTCTCTTTGCATTCACCTCACCGGTATATACCCATACATACATATAAACGTATGTGCAAATAAACATACCGACACCTATAGTAGAGACGGTGAATACGAGTTTTTAACATAATAGAAAATGTGACTGGCCTATGTAGACCAGGTAGGATGCGTCCGCAGCCGCATTACGGCGGAAACTGGCACCTTCAACGTCGAGTATCTGTTGCGCTTGGATTATCTGAGTCTGATTACCACTAGCTGTCGCATTGTTAAAGTTAATTGTATCGGTCGCAAACGAGACGAAGTCCTCGGTCAGCCTGCCAAACAGCAAACTCATGAGAGGCTAGAATGTACGGAAGCAGATAAGAAACGGAAGCGAGACAGAAAAAAATAGGCAAACCGACCTGCGCTGCACCAGCTGCAGCTGCACAAACAAGGCCAATCGCGTTCATGGCAAGTTCTGTACGAGTAGAATACCTAAAAGACAAGCGAGCGATGAGCGGGTTAGCGTGAGAGTGGGAAATGAAGACACACCTGAACAGGGTGGAGAACGAGACTGGGACGACGACCTCAGCAGACTGTGTTTCTACTACCGCGCCCTCGACATCTTTCTCGTCTAGTTTCTCATCCTGAGCTTTTCCCTTGGAGAAAAGTCCCTTCTTTGGTTTCTTTTGGACCTGTTTCTCGGTGTCGAATGATGCAGCCTTTTCGTTCGGGGAGGGAGAACGAGGGGAAGACATGATGGTGGAAAGGATCAAAGAGCGATCCTGGGACACTTCGACGTCGGAGCAGACTTGAGGGAAGAAACAAGAGAAGACAGATAGAAAAGATGAAAGCGTGGTGACCGAGTAATTATATGCGTGTTAGCTCGGTTTTCCACCTTGGACGGCCCATTAATCCGTTCACGTTATTCACATTATGTCACACAAGCGTGCGCAATCGTTGCGGCTCACACGCAGCCAAACAGACGTCAACATTGATCGCAGCCACCTACGACAGCACGTCTGGTAGGGAAGCATCGTTATCAGCACACCTGTACTAGCACTCTTCCATTGCCCTACAAGGATGAATGTTCAGTCCAATGTTCTCAAGAGCTTCTCTCCACGTCGTATAAACTCTTATCGCACCATTAACACTCGCAGTATCTCCCTCCGTCGGATCACCACCCAGTCAGGCAACCATCTGCATGACTCACTCGCGTGCCTAGCGTTACCGCGGCAGTCTTACCGAGATCCAAATTCTGCCTTCCCCTTGGCATACATACACGCAACAAAGCGTGCAGTGACCCGTTGGGTGAAACTGATTCAGACCCCTCGAATTCGAATCGCTGCGTTCTCGACGGCGCAGCTCCATTCTCCCCGGGGCGTCTTGTGGCATTTGCCGATCATCATTAGAATACCGTAAGCAAACTTACTCAGTTTTAGATATCTCTTGTCCTCACGCCAACACTCCGCATTTCGGTGAGGTGGGTGTCAATCATGATGGCATGATTAGCTTGCTGTGTATCATTTTCTGGTACTCATTTGCGCCATTCTCACGTGACTTGAGCATACTAGTATCTCTTACTATACTCACTCCTTTCAGTTTGATCGTAGAATAATTCTTATGGCAGCTGCCATTGTCCTTTGGCTGATGATTCTAATAGGTCTATGAACTTCATGCACAGAATTTTGACTTCAAGCTTTATCATGCCACAGTTCTATGATCCCAGCTAACGGGCGCCGCAGCTGATTCAATTTACCGGTGCTCAGATCTTATCACAAATGTACATGCGCATGTCCCTCTTGAGACATCAAGGGATTTTCCTAATCCATCCATTGCAAGTACTGCAACCAACCTCGTACTAGTGACCTGCCTGTTCAGGCTCATAATATGCATACTATATATTTAATTTCCAATGCCTCTCTCTACTTCTCAATTATGATCTTATTAAGTTGTTCCAGGAATTCCCTGTACACCCAATCAGATGGAGATTAACGAAGCGGTGCATTTGCCGCTTGCCCGCATCTTACCACTTTACCAGCCCCGAATATATGACTTTGCGCAGCAGCTACTCAATTTCCTTTCCTTTCAACGGGCCTTACTACCTCTACCATTTTTTACTGTCATAACCTAGACTTACCTTTAAGAGCTAGTCCGTCTTTCTCACCATCTTATTCAAGTTATCAGAGCGCACCATGTGGGGGGTGTATCTAATTGAAATGATTGGCTGACTTGGGGTGCTTTTTTTCTAGGAATAACATATCATCATTTCGACTGCGCCGTTAGGAATCGTAAGCGTGATAGGAGATTCCCGCCGGAACTGTTCGGGACTCGTACACACATGGTAACGATGTGTTGTCTTTTACAGGACTATGGTAGTTTGATCAGTCATGAAAGGTATGCCGTATTCTATACAAGTTAGCACATGTATCGTCTGAACTAGTAGGACCCATTACAGCATTTAAGTTGTTTCCGCCCAAAAATCACCGCCCACCTAGACGCTGGACTAGCACTAGTATCGTAGGGGACCATACTGGAACCACCCGCAGACACGGGGACTTTTGCTCTTTATAGCAGGAAGACTTCTTATATTGCTCAAGACCTACACAGGCTTCATGGGGGTAAGCACGGAGCGTCCCTAGACCGAGGCACTGCGGCTGAGCTGACGCGTGTATACGTAGGTATACGTACAGGTACCTAGTCACTCGGTGGTTCTCCCACCACTTTTGATCGCGATCAAGCTATTTCTGACAACAGCCTAAATCGGGACTCCTATCAAGACTTTTCAAGTTGGGCCTTCGTCTTTCATCACTGCCATGTTGTGCTTTTCCTCCCTTAAGAATAGCCTCATCGTCTTTGCCATTGCATAAAGGTTACGAACTTGAAAACCGCAAGAGCGTATGAAAGTGATACATAAGGATTGTTCTGCGGACCGACCTCACGGCGCAGCTGCAAGACTCCTCCACGACATTTTTCTAGGGTATTCGTTTGTCACGTTGACAGGTCTCCGTAACAAAACATGGATGACCCTTCAAAGACTTGTTTGGCACCTGGGATAGGCTGCTGGTCGTGAAGTCAGCTGACATGGTCAGGATGCAACAATGAGGCATGAGAACCCCTCAGGCCAAATTTATGTAAACTATGCAGCAAATTGAAGATCATTACTCCACATAACGAGGCGTCGATGTCGGCGCACACGGCCAGCCAGGCGAATGATCATCCCTGAATATGCTGGAAGCACTCGGTGTGTTCGCTGCCAGTGATATCCTGCCAATTCCTACATAGGGAGCGGGATATGACTCCCCAAGCCCGGCTTGGCATCACACCACCGAAGAGCCATGATTCAGGGTGCCTGTACATAAACGACGCAGGAGGTTCGCCCTACGGGCTCGCTGCAAGGCAAATCTCGAACAGTGATATCAACGTCCGTGGTTCTGCTAGCGTGCCATGATGATGGCGCATTGACCTCGCTTCTATTTAAGCTTTATTAAGGAAATTCTGTTTATCCTGCTTCCTGGGAACTTTGTTGAATTTCTGTTATCATCAAACTAACGAACGAGCGGAGGTTTGAGAGACTTCCCCCCTAGCTAACAAGGCAATAATAAACGTTCTGCTTTTCTTTCACGAAGCGCCCGCATCTGTTGTTGTATACTCAGCGGGTGGGTTGCTGGAACTACTTCCCTCCACTCGTACGTCATAGCCGTAGCCATGTCCAGGCGAACCAGCAACATTCCCCGGCCCTTCGTAGTGCAGCTGCGATAGATCGTAATTCCCTAGTCGAGAAACTAGTAAATATCTCGCTTCCCCGGTATGCTGTGAACCAGTAAAAGTTTAGACGCACCAATAAAACACCATCCTTCTTCCTTCACATGATACAGGTTGCAGGAGTTTCCGGTGAAAGCATCGCGATGGCCGGCGGCGTAGATACTTCTTCGTCCTAGCTCCTGTGCTTCTTCATCTGTGAGACCCCACTTGTATCCTTGATCCAAAACGCCGTAGGCGAATGTGCTTCCAGACCCTACTGAGAATAAGTCTCCTTTAAGGCGGGTGCCATCCGCGTCGACATAATACAGCGCAGGGCCCTATATAGATTGTTAGATGATGCTAAAATGAACTGCGAGCTTGTCAAAATGGGAAAGCTGACCGTTTTGTCCCAGCCGCAAATCATCGTACCCTAATGAGATCCAGTATAATCAAGTCTGAGCAGTGTAAAAGTAAGAACAAAATACGCTAACCATACTCAAACCGGTCCCTTTGTAGCTGTAAACAAGATTACTGAGGTATTTACTGGCAGCTGCGACAGAGATACGCTCTCGATTGCGGAGTTCGTGCAGCCTGCAGTGCATTCCTAGGTACATCTCCCAATACTGACAGTCGGCTATTCGCGGACACAACAGTAAGTGATCAGCGAATATGTATAAAGTAGTGAAAAGGAATACACACCGGCGCCCCCCGCCATGGTACCAAGTAAATAAGGGTTAATCTCGATGACTTTCTTTACTGTTCCAGAGCCTGAATACCAACAAATGTAAATATCTACAATGTGAGATTAGTAGTTGTACGACACTGACCTATGTAGCTTCCTGCACTCGATCTAGAGTCAACGGCGACGATGACCCCGCCTTTGAACTTGAAGGCTAAGGTTGTCGTACCGTGCTGAATCTTGATCTTACAATTCGGATCATCGTGGTCATCTGTATGTAATCTCAAGAATGCGGCAGGCTGTTGCAGAGATGAGTTCACGCCGTAGTGCCAGTGGTCAGGAAGATACAACTTACATCTTGAACAGCAGGGAAGGCGAAGGCGGGCACTCCCTTCGCAATGTTACCAAAGCCAGCCTGTGACCCCCACGTAGCATCAGAGAACTCGTCGTCGTCGACAACGATACCTCTTCCGCTGTAAAATTCGTCCGTGGTGCTAGATGTCAAGAAGCGCTGAACAAAGTTATTCATGATATATGAGAGGTCTACAAAGCAATAGTGTCACTTGAGCGCACCTTTTATATATGGAGAGCATGTAATAGTTGATGGTTTGGTGACGCGTCCTGTGGTGACGCGTTCGTAGAATCGTGCTGATACCTTATGTAGCGTTATGACAACTTTCATGGCATCCGCGCTCACATGTTTGTGGCGACACTTGTAGCCTTTGTGTTAAAAGAACCAGCAAAGCTACTGCTCCGTTTCAGGTGGATATATTCCTGCATAGTGGTAAAAGGAATTATGATGATGAGGAGAGGAGGAGACGTGTTCAGCGAACCCTTCATGAATCACGTGATCATATCTTATCAGATTTCATCACTGGTAATCCAACCATTTCAGTGCAATCATCCAGTTACGAAAACGACAACGACTTACTATGCAGCTGCGTAGTCGTAGTGGTTATTCGCTGTATTTTGTCATTTATGGAGGGTGTTTTTCCAGTGAGGATAGGTTGTTCAAAGTGACACTGGCAAACGATGTGACTTCATCCAGATTCACATGGCAGTACTTGCAGTTAGGTTGCTTAGCTGTACTCCTTCCAGTGGTACTGAACCCGCCCTATGAAAATACTCTTAGACAGCGGAGCATGTTTGTGATGGGTTTTTGCTTCCGCCCAATACGCATTCGGCAAACCTTTGATTTGCCAGTATCAGTGCTTCGTCGGCGTGGATTGAGGCTTGTAAGTGTACACACCTTGCAATCTTCGTCAGAGTGAAAATCACAAAAACAATGGCAGCATTCGTACCATGCCCACTGAGTAAGAGTCATGTCGACCATTGACATGTCGACGCTTACGACACGCCTTGGTTAGACGTATTATTACTGTAATAATGCCACGTTAGCGATTCTCCACAATTGGTTGCGGTGGCGTTAATTGCGTTCCTCTTACATGTAAAAAGCCAGACAACAACCAGTTCATACACACATTTATTCTCGTTCTTTCACAACCACAACTTTCGTTTTCAGCGAATCCTCGGAACCTTCACAGATTTTTCATTGCCCTCGAATACCAAATATAGTTTCAACATGTTGAAGGGATTGGGTAAATTAAGCAAGAAGGCTTCATCTGCCACTCTTTCTGCTGCCACAGAAGAGTCTCCGCGGTCTACTACTCCCACTCCACAGAACCCAGATGGGAAACCCAGCTTCAGATCTGGTGTACTTACCATTCGTGTGCTTGGTGCAGAGGGCCTTGCCTTACCTGGCGGAACCGCTGTGCCATCAGCTGTACAATCTGCCTTGTCTACACAACAAGCCAAAGTCGCCGCGTCCATCTCGCCATCCAGTGTCGCTCAGCGCAGGCTGGCCAAGAAACATGGCGCTAAAGACAGTATACAACGAAGCCAATGCTGGTGGTTGCCCTACCTCGTCATGGAATTCGAGGTCAACCAGGTCATGATCACGCCATTGGGAGGCGACCTCGAGCAACCTCTGTACATGTACCAAGCTCAATTGTAAGCTAATTACACCGTCTTCTTTTTACCCGCGTCGATTTTAATTTCAACCAGTGACGTTTCTCGTAATTCCGAAATCTCCATTCAGTGTTATCTTCGTGCAGAGGAACCTAAACGTGGCGGTGACGGCTTCGCGGACGATATGGGTAACGATCTTTTCATGGGAGGCATTAAGTTCACTCCTGACTTCGATGACCTTGGCACCCATATCAACGATCAATGGTATAACTTGGGTGGTGGAAATGGTAAAATCCAAATCGGCGTGGCCTATCAACCGAGTAGCGTGAGTGGCCTCGAGAATTCCGCATATCTTAGATATTGAACATTATTTTAGGGGCAATCATTCACTATAGACGACTTTGAACTTATCACGGTCATCGGAAAAGGTAGTTTTGGCAAGGTTGGTTATAGCACCGACAGATTCGGGATGCATGCTAACTAAGTCTTATAGGTCATGCAGGTCAGAAAGCGTGACACCACTCGTATATATGCCTTGAAGACAATCAGAAAAGCGCATATCGTTGATAGGAATGAAATTACTCACACTTTGGCGGAGCGTCTCGTTTTGGCGCGAATAAATAATCCTTTTATTGTCCCCCTGAAGTTCAGTTTTCAGTCTGAGCAAAAGCTTTACTTGGTTCTTGCGTAAGATTTCCCATTTTGCCTCTCCACCACTTTTTTTTTTTTTTTTTGCATTAAACGGTGTATTTTCCAGGTTTGTCAATGGAGGAGAGCTGTTCCACCACTTACAACGAGAACAGCGCTTTAACGAAGAGCGGGCACGGTTTTACAGCGCCGAGCTCCTTTTGGCTCTTGAACACCTTCACGAGTTGGATGTTGTATACCGGTTGGTCCTTAATGTCTTTCACTTCCGTGCACCGCTCATTTCCTGTGCTTCTGATAAAGTGATCTTAAGCCGGAGAACATATTGCTTGACTACACCGGTCACATAGCCCTGTGTGATTTCGGCTTGTGTAAGCTCAACATGAAGGATTCAGACACTACAAATACCTTTTGTGGAACTCCCGAGTATCTTGCCCCGGAAATTCTGACCGCTCAGGGATACAGTTCAGTGTCCTTTCCCTTATTCGTTTCATATGCATTCTGAATGGAATGGTCATTACAGACAAGTCTATTGATTGGTGGACATTGGGCGTACTGTTGTACGAGATGTTATCGGGTCTTCCACCTTTCTATGATGGTCTGTCATTTCCGCCATTACTTTTCGGCTTACTAATCATAGATAAATTGGTATCAAACAGAGGTAACGGACAAGATGTATCAAAAGATTTTGCAAGACCCTCTTGTTTTCGGTTCAGAAATCGGCTCAGAAGCGCGGAGCATACTTACAGGTCTCCTTACTCGCGACCCAGCACGTAGGCTGGGCGTAAATGGCGCTGAGGAGATTAGGAGGCATCCCTTCTTTGAGAAACACATCGACTTCAAGAAGTTGCTACAGAAAAAGATTCAGCCGCCCTTCAAGCCCAGTGTGTCTAGCCCAGTGGTATGTTTCTTGAATATTTTCGATGACGAATCGTTAATAACCGCGAAATTACTTTTGCGCTAAACAGGATGTGTCGAATTTCGATACCGTCTTTACAGCCGAGGAAGCCATTGATAGCTACGTTGATGGTTCGCACTTGTCACAGACTGTTCAAGATCAATTTGCAGGTGCGTATGAATCAAATCTTATTTTGCTATCCCCTAACTGTCAATGGTACCTCATCTATCAGGTTTCTCCTATGACGGTTCTCACATGCCTATCAGTGCGTGAGATGTCAAGCTTAAAGATTTAATTTCACCTTTGTTCTGGATTATAATACCCCCACGAGGCTTCTTAGTGCGAAATATTATTTGTTGGCTTTTTTGCTTGTAACGTTGGATATATAGCTTTATCACTTGCACTCTTTTCAGTATCTCTACCCACGGCTTTCACGCTTGGAATTAATGTATGTTCATATCAATAGCATGGTCACAAGTTCATCACTTCTTTTATGAGTGATTTTGACGATAAATCACTCACATGGTCAGAAAGCCATGTACCTGACACTCACAAATATTCAACGGCTGCTGCTCTTGCACAGTTGTTGGTCAAATCAACCACATTCTGTGGTGATGTAAGTGCAGCCAGCACAGTACAAGCTTCATTGCACCCGTTCACAGCCTATTTTCCCAGTCGTCGTTAAATTCTTTTTTCCACATCTCAATCATCTCCTCAATTACTTCACTGCTGATATCTTTCCATTCCTTTTCGCCCTTGCCTTGATTCAGCTTACTGATGGTGGTGATCGCAAAACGATCGCCGACCCATACACCGTGGTGCGTATCCCCACCAGTATCGTCATAGAACTCGCACACGGGGATATCACAGGGCAAACAGATCCGATGCACCAGGACAGACCCTAAAGTCAGATTTCTTCCGACGAAAGGACCCTTGGAAGATGACGGCGAAAACTCCTTGAGGTCTGAGATTGAGCTCGCCCGAACATACTCCCGCTTGGTTAGGTTGGCAAGAACCCATGTCTCCTCCAATGCGTAGACAGGCTTGTGCAAACGGCTCAATATCTCTCTCTCGCCACGTGTGGGGAATGCCTCGAGGGAAATGTGATCATCCCTGTTTCCCGCTGTGAACACCTCGTAGATATGCGGTAGGACGGGTGGTTCGCAGAAGTAGGTAGCAGCAATGTTGTAGAGATTGTGGTCTTCAAGAAGGTCATCCTGGCCGGACTGACCATCCAAACCTAGATCCTGTATTTCAGCTTCTGTAAGGAGGCCCTCTGGCAGACCCCCATCCCATGCACCGCTTCCAATACAGATGATACGATCTCCTACCCAGTGAGCCCGGATATTTACTTGAAGGGCATGAAGCTGGGTCAAACTGATGGATAAAAGCAGTTTACAGGTGACGCCAAATAGCATCACATCTATGATATCGTTCATTTCTGCGAAGACGAGACCGAGGATTTCATTGGGGAGACGCAAGATTCCAGACTGTCTGGGAGTTGAGGTCACATTTAGGAGATATTTTTCAGCAGTGGCTTCACTATATTAACGGGTAGGTTTGCAGAAATGATTGTATGATCTATTATGATAAACGGCAATATAAGCTTACCTGAGGGGCTTCTCTGGTGCAGCAAGGTGCTCGACAAGACAAGGCGACTGATCATGGAAGAACCACTCGCCCACCTTACCCCACTCTCCGAGGGTTTGCTTCTTGTCTATATTGATACTGGATGAACATGGAAGATACAGCTTAAATTAGTAAAACTGCCAGTGATATGTGGCACGCCAGCCATGAAAAACGCACATCTGAAACCATTTACCCATACCTATGCCAGTGAAAGGGAGTCCGGTGAGCTTCCTGGAAGTTCAGTTCACCTCATTTATACTATGCTCTGAGCTCCGACAAGGGCGATCTTGAATTTCTCATGCATTTGACTCCGATATAGTTTTTTGTGACTCGTACTGCAAGCGAAAATGACAACCCTGTTGATACACACTGTCGCGTATAGTCTACATACACTGCCAAAGGCGGGGGTTATGATATCATAGTCACTTCAAAGGGAATGTGTCAGCTGTGGTGGTCATGATGCACAAAATACAAAACTTAGCATACAAACAACGAGTGATCTTATTACATTCTGACCTGCATTTTGGGGTGGGAAAGATATCAGAAGGCCCAGTAGTATAGCGCACATTGGGAAATCGTACCAAATTTCTGCGAAGTTATAGGAACACGGGGGTTGGGACGCTATTGCAATGAATGATCAAGACTTAGCAAATACATTTGCCACTGTAATATAGTAGAATGATCTGACTCACGCTGGGTAGATCCGCGGATTCAGAATGAAGATAGTAGTAGGCGAACAGTTGGGAAATGAATCCGAGGCTCTGAGTACAATAGTATCGATTTAGTCACAAATGTCCATTTATAATAGCACAGGGGTGCCCGAATGGCAGTGTTATTACACATTGAGACACATCCACTGTCAGCCCAAAATATAGCAAAAATCACTGAAATAGCTTGTGATATAAGATTTTCAGTATGGAAATTGGTGATGTCCTAGTACCGAGTGACAATCAGGTATTTATCAATCAAACTCTCTGTATATGATATTCACTGTATTTTCTGGTAGTATTAATAAATCTAAGTGAAACTCAGCTGCTGCCCGAGAGGCTATAGAAATGACTGATTATTTACCTAAGTGAAACTACAACAGATGTTAGTTTAAGGTGATCTCTAATAAATGTAATGTAACATACCTCAGTACAAGAAAGAAACATATTTTGGCCAACTGCAATACATTACTGCTATCAAATTTCCAGCTGTAAACACTTTACAACTTCATCAACCCACAAACATCATTCTTGCAGCAGTGAAAACCTGCGTAATTGAAGCCCTGGATTCAATAGAAGTTAATAAATCTAAGTGAAACTCAGCCGCTGCCTAAAAGGCTATAGAAACGACTTCATTATTTACCTAAGTGAAACTACAATAGATGTTTGTTGAAGGTGATATGTAACGTACCTCAGCCGCTGCCCGAGAGGCTATAGAAACGACTGAGGTACTTCTATACTAAACCCCCAACTACTTAATAGTTGGAGGTGCTACTCGCTACAGTATAATGACTCCTAGGAGTACAATGGTGACTCCATGGAGTGGTGGCTATGCTCCATGGAGAACAATAGCTGCTTTAGCAGAGACCGGGTTTATCCGGTTTTGTCAAGTATCAGTTCTAATGATATTTCTGTATGATCCTTGTTACGATACACAATTTTTGGACCTTCAATTTTCATTCTTCTCTTTAACTTTCTTTTGTAGTTTTCACACATGGTACCATGTGGCACTTTCCATTTTTGTTCAAACTCCACCTTCTCGCGCTGCACTGCCTTTTTCTTATTTTAGCTACAAGTCTCTCACGCAGCGGAGCTGGTCACACAGGCTGTGCCCTCTGAAATCATCAGCCACTGCTTTCATGAACTGTACAGTACATAAGTACAAATACACTGTAGTAGTATATAAACCTCAATTTATCCAGGAGACTCCTCAGCGAGTCCTCCTGTTGTACACCCACAACTAACTCGATCACATCTAAAAGGGTAACCACTCCCTCTTCACTACTCTTTTGCTTGTCTGAGTTGTGTGCCAGAGTAACTAACTCTTGGTTGTTACATTGGGACTCGCTCTTTAACTACTCTCTCGCACATTGTGCAAACCCGGTCCCCAGGGTTAAGGGGTTATTGTTTAGGAATATCCTGCATAGCAAAAGGGTGCGCTCCTAGCGACAGCCCCGTAGTGCTCTGGGAGAAAGGACAATTAAACTATACATGGCCCCCAGTGTTACGATAACACAATTTTTGGACCTTTCCTTTTATTTTCATTCTCCGCTTTAACCTTTTACTGTAGTTTTCACACTCCATGCCATGCGGCACTTGCCTTTTGTTCAAACTCCACTTTCTCGCGCTGCACTGCTCTTCTTCTTATTTTAGATACAAACTCTCTCACGCAGTAGAGCTGGTCATATGGGCTAGGCCCTATGACATCATCAGCCACTGCCTCTAGCAACTGTATAGTACATATGTACAAACAAACCTGTAGTAGTATATATACCCCAATAGATCAAGGAGACTCCTCAGCGAGTCCTCCTGTTGTATCCTCACAACTAACTTGTTGAAACCTAAGGGGTGATCCCTTTCTTATCTCTCCACTCTTTGCTTGTTCTAGTTGTGCGCCAGAGTAACTAACTCTTGGTTGTTACACCTAGTGTCAAGGGGAGTACTTAGCTCAGCAGTTGGTGTGGAACCACTGTTGATTAGAATTTACATACAAAGCTTCTCTTTCTCTTTCCTCTGACCAGGCTGAACACTTGTCTCTGCCAGTCTGGAGAAGGGTTGACAGCTTAACAAGCGGACCACCCCCTAACAACCATTCGGACCAGGGTTTAATACTATAACTTTTATATACATTTTCAAATACTATAGTGTGGGTAGTCGGAGATTGAGATCCGATACTCAGCTGGGAAGAGGTTGATCCGCAGATAGCAAGTGGGGACCCCCAGTTACCTTTTTTTTACTTTACCAAAGAGAACAAGTCAACATGTCATTGCAACCCGATGTCAGCACTCTGTTGCACAACATGCATGCACAGATTTTGACATTAACAATGCAACTCGCAGAGTTACAGGAAAATCCCCCTGTAGCTACATCTGGACAAAAGTTTAGCAAAAAGGTCGAAATCATCGCTGACCCCGGCACTTTTGAAGGAGACTGGGCTCAATTTGCCAAATGGTGGATCAAGCTCCAAATTTGGATCAAGGTAAATTGGGATGCGTTCACTAATGATTTTAAAATAGCAACAGCTGTGCTGTCAAGACTCAAAGTGTAAAAACCCTTATCCCCTATACCGAGTTAACGGAGGGATGAAGATTCAAATCAAACAAGTAGCGTTACAAGATAGCGATTGAGAATTAATCAACAACTGAGGAAAGTATGTACATGGTGGTCTACTATATATATGTTTCTGAAAGTCAGCCATGAGGCGCTGACTGATGTTCTTTGTAATGGTTCTAGACTCTTGTCACGTGATGGTCACGTGATCTGATATAACTACGTATTTATGTTATCCGCGCTAAAGCAGCAGCTTAACATATCTTATCTGTCATGTGATCAGATATCAAAGAAAATGAAAAAAGGAAACTAGCGCTCAGACTAGCGCTTCTGGTTCAAGTCGTGACATTACCCCCTCCTTAGGACTTTCGTCCCGAAAGTAGGGGTCCATCTTTCCGTTTTCCCAATTAAACAATTGTTTTCGGACTCTAGTTGTTGTGAAGTTTTCGAAGGGTTGGAAATGTAATTGAAATCGGATCCGTCGGGGTGCACTGGGGTTGTTATCGTGGAATGTTTTGACTTTGTCTGGTGAGTTGTTTAGATGTTGTTCGGGTTCCCACGTGCGTTCCTCTTTTGGATAATTCTTCCAATGTACTAAGTATTCCAATTTCCCTCGTTTTAGACGTGAGTCTAGAACTTCTTCGACTTCATATTCTTCTTGTCCGTCTACTATTACCGGCGGTATCGGTTTTAATTTCTGTTGGGAAGGGAACTGTGGTTCTTTGTACGGCGTGAGTTTTATTTCGTTGAAAACCGGATGAATAGGCCGCCATGTCGGTGGTAGCGCTAATCTATAGGCTGATTCGCCTATTTTCTCCAGTATTTCAAACGGACCGTGTCTCTTATCGTCCAGTTTCTTGGCTGGTCGATCTGTTGAGATATTGGTCGCTTCTACGTACGCCTTATCTCCTACTCTATATTCCACTGCTTCTCTTTTCTTCTTATTGTACTGCTTCTTCATCTGTTCAGCCGCTTTTTGCAGCGATTCTTCTGCTTTCTTCCTGGTTTCTGTCATTCTCTTTACGAAATCTTCTGCATTTTCGTTCTTTACCCCCACTTTCACTACTTCCTGTGTTCTTGGATGATGTCCATGATTCAGGTAGAACGGGCTATATCCCGTTGCAGAATGTTGTTTGTTATTGTAAGAGAATTCTGCTAGGGTAAGCCATTCTGCCCAATCATCTTGTTTATGGTTTACGAAGATTCTGAGATACTGTTCTATCTCTTGATTGATCCTCTCCGTCTGTCCATCCGTTTGTGGATGCCAAGCCGTTGATGGGTTTGCTTTTATCTGAAGAAGCGTATGTAGATCTTTCATGAATTTTGAAACGAATTGCGGTCCCCGATCTGAGATGATCTTTTCGGGTATGCCGTGGTTTCTGAATACATGATCTCTAAATAGTCGTGCCACTCCTTCTGATGTGATCTCCATCTGTGTGGGAATTACCTTGATCATTTTGGTAAATCGATCTACTACTACCATTATCATGTTATATCCATTTGATTCTGGTAGCGGTCCGATCAGATCTACTGATATGATCTGCCAAGGTTTATCCGGGATCTCGTTTGGATGAAGCGGTGCTGCTTTCTTTTTATGGTCTGTCTTAGTTCTTTGGCAGACTTCACATCCATCTACGTATCTCGTGATGTCTCTGTCCATGTAGGGCCACCAGTATTGTCGAGTGATTAGCTCTTTTGTCTTATATCTTCCTGGATGGCCTGCAATAACAGAGTCGTGGTTTCATCGGATAATCTCTTCCCTTAACGCGGCATCTTTCGGTACATAGATCCTGCCTTTGAATACTATGCGACCGTCTTCGTCTAGCCAACCATCCTCTCTCTTCTCTATCTTTCCTTTCATCTTTTTTATCAGTTCATCTACATTTCCTTTTCTCTTTGTAATCCACTTTGAAATCTCTAATTCTTCCTCTTGACTATCTGCGATCTTTTGTCTTTGTTCTGGAGAGAGAGTCATTCTTACAAATAGTTTCTCATCCAGTAGTACAACGTCTTCGTTGTCGTTTTCTCCTTTGTTATGATCTGATCGCCTTGAGAGAAGATCTGCTTTTATATGCTTCCTTCCTGGCATATGATGTATCGTGAAATGATACTGGCTCAATTCTGTCATCCACCGCGCCTGTCTCCTGTTCAACTTCTTGGGTTCTTTGAAATACAGCAGATTTTGATGATCTGTCCATATTTCAAATTCCTCTTCCGCGTCTATTAAGTAATGTCTCCATTCGTTAAGTGCCGTCATGATAGCAAGAAGCTCTTTGTCATAGATCTCGTAATTGCGTTCTGTGGGGTTTAACGCTTTGGAGAGGTATGCAATTGGCTTCCAGTCATCCTTTTGTCTTTGTGATAAGACAGCACCCATAGCGAAGTCACTACTATCTGCTTCTACTTTGTATTGGCCATGTGGTACTGGAAGGGCTAACACTGGGGCTGAAGCTACACATTGTTTTAATGTGTTAAATGCTTCTTGTTGTTCATTTCCCCAAATGAAGTCCTCTTTTCCCGTTAACTTGGTCAATGGTTTGGCTACTTCCCCGAAGCCCTCTATGAACCTTCAATAGAAATTTACAAATCCCAAGAATGCTTGTATATCCTTCTTATTTTTGCATTCTGGCCATTTGCTAATTCCTTCTACTTTTACCGGATCCATGCGAATTTCGTTTTCTGAGATGATCAGTCCCAGGTATTCCACTTCTGTCTGTTCGAAATCACATTTTTCTGGTTTAAGATAGAGATGATTTTTTCTTAGGATTTCTAACACACGTCGCGTCGTTGCTCGGTGCATTTCTATATCCTTTGTGAATATCATGATATCATCTAGATATATGATTACTAATCCTTCATCTATCAACTCTTTGAAAAGCGTGTTCATCATCATTTGGAACGTGGCTGGGGAATTTGTCAGTCCGAAGAACATGACTAATGGTTTGAATAATCCCCGGTTTGTCCTAAATGCCGCTTTGTGCTCGTCTCCCTCTCTCATTCGGATATTGTTATATCCCCATCTTACATCCAACTTAGTGAAGTATTTTGCTCCACTTAATTTGTCTACTAGTTCCCCGATTAACGGAAGTGGATATCTATTTTTGATAGTGATATCGTTTAGCTTCCTATAATCTTGAACTGGTCTCAACTTCCCGTCTTTCTTTTTAATGAAGAAGAATGGTGATGCGAATGGGGATTTTGATGGTCTTATCCGTCCCGATTCTAAATTCTCTTTTAGGAACGCATCTAGTTCTTCTTGCTCTCCTCTTGCCAATGGATAGATCTTGCAATCTAGGGAGTGATCTCCCGGTATTAGTTCGATTGCGTGATCCCATTGTCTTCTTTCAGGTAACGTGTCAAACTCCTTTTTATCAAATACGTCTTTGTATTGATGAAGGTGTTTTGGCACTATCTTTTCGAATCCTCCTTCTTTTCGATCTTTGCCTGCGGCTTCTGCTAGCTTCTGTGCCATTGTGCCTTGGGCTCTGATATGGTAATATTGATCGTCGATCGTGGCATCTTCGAAATTATGGAGATTCACTTGTATCATCCTCTCGTCTTCTCTTAGTTCCTCAAAGAATATTTCCGGATCCTCCTCTGGATCAGAGATTCGGATTCTCGGTCTGCATTCTTCAGGACATCTCTCAAAGGTCAACTTCGATTCTTTCCAGTCTATTTTAGGATTATGTTTGTTCAACCACTCATGTCCTAGAAACATTTTTCCGTTACCCAGATTGGTTACGGCAAGATGTATCTTCTCGACGTGTCCGTCGATTTCCATGAGTAGTATTACAAATTCATTGATGGCTCCGTTTTTATTAAGAGTTCCATCTGCATTATAGACTGGAATAGGTCTCGGTATCTTCCTTGTCTCATATCCTTTGTCTTTCACAAATTGGGAGTCGATGCAACTCCCCGTGCATCCACTGTCCAATAGTGCTTCGACTGTTTCTGATTGGAGAGTATCTAACGTAGTAAGCTTACATTTTACGTTCATTTGATTGCCTTGGGTGCCCCTAATGTACTTTTTTGGGGAGGCAATTTCTATGATCGCTTGTATAGCTTCTACTTTTGGTAACCGGTTGATTTCTTTTATCGTTTCCCGGGTTACTTCTCTCGCTCTCTTTTTATGTGTCCAGGCACTCAGAATCCCAATGGATCTTTCTTCCTTTTGGTCTCTTAGCCTGTCTACTACCCATTCTGGGGTCCAGACTTCTGTTCTAGGTTTTTTTAGAGGGGTTCCTGACCTCTCTTCTACAATCTCTGCTGCGTTTTTCTCCGTAGAGCTCGCCGCATCGGGTGTAGGAATCTTAGGTTCTATCGTAAATGCTGCACTTTTTAGTGATTCGCCCGCCGTCGAAACTGCGGATGTCTTATCACTCTGCGCCGCTTTTACTCTAGTTGCATCTTTTTCATTTCGGATTTCTTTCTTTGTCTGAGTGGAAATAGTTTTATTGTCATCCGCGCTAAAGCTGCAGCGTAACAATTCTGAGTCATATGTATCTACAGTTAAAGGAAGAAATCGATTCGAAACGTCTTTAGGCTCAGTCGGTCGATGCGGTACCGCTGGCCTCTTTAAAAACCCTCAAGGAGTTTTTCCCTTTCCTCTTTTGTCATCTTTTCTAGGAACTCTCGGACATTAAATTGTGGCTTCCTTTTTTGTGCGTCTTTGCATTCGAAGCTTCTATGTCCCTTTTCTCCGCATCGGTAGCATCGTCCCTCCGTGCGGAACTTTGCTTTGTCCACCTCCATTCTTTCTCCGCTACCGGTATAGGTATATCCGGTTCCGTCTTTCTTCTTCTCTCCTTCTTTCTTTTGTTCCGAATAGGGTTTCTTCCCAGTATCGGAGCCTTTCTTCTCTTTCTCTCTTTCTCTCCAAATATAGTCTATTCCAATGAGTTCTCTTTTCCACTCTTGGTAATCTCTGGGAATATGCCCGCCGTAGATCACCCTGTCTACTAGCGGCTTATTCATGTTCCTTCTGAGTAGAGATATGAGGAACTCTTCGTTTATCCTATTTGTATATCCCGCCCATCTTTTCTTTTCCTCAAACCTTTCAAAGAAGGCTTGGGCGGTT